CTCATGTCTATTTCAAGGCTGACATCGACTTGGCCGTAGCAGCCGCCAAAAAGGCGTTCCACCGCTATTCAGAATGGCGCACCATGGACGCTTCCCAAAGAGGCCGTCTGCTGCTCAAGCTAGCTGACCTCGTGGACAGAGACGCCAAGTACTTGGGCCAGCTCGAGACCTTGGACAACGGCAAGCCAGTGAAGCAGGCTGAAACCGAAGCGCTATGGTCAGCCAGTATCCTGAGATACTTCGCCGGCAAAGCCGATAAAATCTTCGGGCAGACCATCCCTGCTGGTAAGTTATGCTAACATGCACAAGACAAAATTATTATTAAGTTCAAATAGATGTATTTGAAATACAAAGGTATGCTTTGTATATTTTTCAGACGGTGAAGTGGTCACTTTCACACTGAAGGAACCCGTTGGTGTGTGCGGTCAAATCCTGCCATGGAACTACCCCATCCCCATGTTTGTATGGAAAATCGCACCCGTCCTAGCCTCTGGTGAGTGGATTACAACCAATAATCCTTAGTTAAGTTAAAACGTTATCATTTATGTTGTTAAACTGAAAACACAACTCTTTTTGTCACCAGGTTGCACCACGGTTATTAAGCCAGCGGAACAGACCCCGCTGACTGCACTGGCCATGGCTGCGCTCATCAAGGAAGCCGGCGTCCCCGCAGGTGTCATCAACGTCGTCCCCGGCTACGGACCCACCGCTGGTGGTGCCCTGACCCACCACCCCGATGTTGACAAGATTGCTTTCACTGGATCCACTGAGGTGTGTGTTTTCGAGAGTAGATTTATTAGTTTTTCTTGCACCTTGACTATAGATTTTCATATACTTCTTGATCTTTTAAGGTTGGACGTATAATCATGAATGCAGCTGCTGCCGTCAACCTCAAGCGCATCACACTTGAGCTCGGTGGCAAGAGCCCTCTTGTGGTCTTCAACGATGCTGACGGTAAATACCATGACATTATATACACCATGACATTTTTACATCCGCTTGGTGCCTCTATTTAACAATCCTTAATAATTTGACAATTTCAGTTGACAAAGCAGCTGATATCGCTCACCGAGCTGCTTTCGCCAACGCTGGTCAGTGCTGCGTCGCCGGAACCAGGACCTACGTCCAGTCTGGTATCTACGACAAGTTCGTCGCTAAATCCGCCGAAATTGCCAAGAAGAGGACCGTCGGCAACCCTTACACTGATGTGGAACAGGGACCTCAGGTAAATTATATTACTTCATATCATATCTTCAATCATTTCTGCTTCGATTCGCCCAAAAACACCGCTTGCAATATTCATATCCCCTTTACACAAGAACCTGAATATGTTTCTTATACTTAGTTTTAATAATAAACCCATATTTTGCTAACAAAATAAAACTTAAAGTAAATCTCCCATTGCTTACAGATCGACAAGGAGATGTTCGACAAAGTGATGGGCTACATCGACGCCGGAAAGAAGGGTGGTGCCAGGTGCATCGCTGGTGGTGAGCGCCAAGGCAAAGTAGGCTTCTTCGTCCAACCCACCGTCTTCGCTGACGTCAAGGATGACATGAAAATCTCCAGGGAAGAGGTAATTTTTGGAATTCGGAATTTCTTTGACTGGCAAGTTTCTTTGACTGTTACGCCAAATATTCTGCACAATTTTTTATCAGATTATTAAATCTATAAGATTTTGATCATAGTTTGCACGCACAAATCAAATCAGTGATAAGATAATAATATACTATCTTCTAACTTATGAAAGCAAATATCTCACTAATTTCGATATCTTCCAGATCTTCGAACCGCTTCTTTCAGTATATTCTTAATAACTTATGTATTCCAGAGATCTTGGGATCGCTTATGTCAGTAGAGTCTCAATAACTTATTTCTTCCAGATCTTCGGGCCGGTGCAAAGCATCCACAAGTTCGAGACCTTCGAGGAGGTCGTGGACCGCGCCAACAACTCCAACTACGGCCTGGGCGCTGGTGTAATCACCAATGACATCACCACCGCCATGGCTTTCATCAAGCATGTGCGAGCTGGTTCCATGTGGTCAGTTTCTTAACTTATTTTTATTTATATTAAGAGTTAGGTATTTAACAGCCTTAGTGCGAATACCAAAAAGCAATCACAGACAAAAAATCGATGTTTAATTTTATTCTACTCACGGTAAAACTGATTTTTCAACATAAAAAATACTGCCTGATTGAGATTGGCACTGCCCTCAAAATTATCGTCCCGCCCGTATCAGTACCACCTACACACAATTAGATACTTATAGTGGGACGGTACAGTGTCCTTAAAAAAATATTAATTTCGTGAATTTGATTGCAAAATCACACCTATTACGACTACGACTAGGTACATAAGGTGTCCCGATTAGCCAGGTTCGTGTGCTGCACTATCTGTAACGAATAGTACCTACTCATTATACTATGCTAATAGTGAACGTTATTTTTTTTTTTTTTTTTTTTTTATATTAAGTAATTTTTTTATTTATATTTTTTTTTATTTATATTATTTAAGTTTGAATTCTATATTTTCTTTCAGGGTGAACACCTACGAGCATGTCACTCCCCAGACACCATTCGGTGGATTCAAGGAGTCTGGAATTGGCCGTGAATTGTAAGTATTCTTTTATATCGTAAAGAAAATTGTGATATTACAAGAACGATACTCAAAGTTAGGATACCTACCTAAACCTGAATGGTTTATAATCACCTGTCATTTCGATAATATCTATGAAGAATTTAACATTTTACTACTATTGTTTTAAAGGCTTGTTTGAGATGATGTTCCTTTAGATTTGTTTTTTTTTTCTTTCATTGAATCCCTTATTTTTCTGCGTGCATAGTGCTGACAGAAAGCTGGATTTTAACACATTATGAATTTTCTTTTTTAACAGGGGTGAAGACGGTATCTCCGCATACCTAGAGAACAAGACTGTGTCCTTCAGCCTCCCCAAGAAGCCCTTGCTGTAAACATAATACAGTAATACTGACTGATACCAAAACTTATCCATATTTACACATTTGTTTTTTTTTTTTAAATAAACCTTTACATTTTATACTTTTGTTTCATTTTATACGATTTTAATAGGATGTGGAATGTTAAGAGCACTATTAAGTACTACAAGTATTTTAGCCGTAGGAGATATAGAATACAAGGCGCTAAAAAATTAAAATACCAATATCCCGAATATAGCAACAATTTAAAAATAATTTAGAATCTATAGGAATGTTCCCATAGATTCCAAATTATTATTAATTTAGTAAGATATTATTTTACAAAGAGAGGGTCAATTTTATTTCCTTTTTCAAAATGAGCTTAGTTTTCTTCATTATCAAATTAAATTATTAAAAACCTAACTTTGTAAATATACTTGAAAATGGTATGGGTATGCCATAAACACAGATGTTTTGTTTAATATTTAAAACTAGAACCGCATAAAATTTAAATATAATAAGTTGTACATACCTACCTTTAACCGGTCGAACGAGCCTACAGTATTAGAATTATTGCCGTAGACACACACGGCCTAAATAAATCAGACGATTCAAAAGTATGATTAATTTAATATCGTACTTATTTTTAGTAGTTTAACTTGGTGCCTAGTCCTACAAGTTACAAGGTAGGTTGTAAAATTAAATCAACGAAACTGAAACGCAGTTAGACTGAACTATCCTCACAGAATAAGTTATAGTATACTATACCAAATTTTACTAATCTTAATATAAAAATAAGGTCATGAAAAATAATTTTACAAGGTACAATTACCTACCATAAAATTATTTGAAACAGTATTAATGTCTTTTAAACATTATCATCTTAGGTAGTAATAAATAAGTAATAAAAAGTGTCTTGTTTTTATGTCTGCACCTATAAAAAGTTGGCCAATTAAGTATTCAGATAAGCTTCTTCAACTATAAGGGCAGATAGAAACTTTCCAGAATAAAAAATTGGCCAAGTGCGTGTCGTGCCACGCGCAGTGTAGTGGTCCGTAGTTGTCTGTCGTTACCACTAAAACAAGCAATTACTTCATCTAAAGTCACTTTTCATATTTTCTTAGGAATTTTTACTGGTTAAGAAATTTTATAATACATGAGTCAAATGACTATTACTCTTAAACTAAGTGATGTATCTTAACCGTTATAGTTTTCCTTGAAATTTCATGAAAAGCAGTATTATTACGAATTTTTTCCAGATTTTTCAAGCCAACCGTAAATTGGCACTTTAAACTTTAATAATTTCCAAACAGATCCCTAAATGGAAAAATAGTCTTAGAATTAAATAGTCTAATGCCCGTTTTCACCATCAATCCCTAACTTTAAGTGACTCCTATGGTAACAATTCACAGGAATTTTGTTTACATATAGGGGTCACATAAAAATTAGGAATTGATGGTGAAAACGGGCATAAGCCATTTTAAAAGACCTATCCAACGATACCCCATACGATGGGATAGAAGATGAAAAAAAAATCATCCCTACTTTACATGTAACCTAAGGACAAAATTTTATTTTACGGTTTTGTCGGCGTGATTAATATACATACCTCCACAAAATTACAAATCCCTAGTGCCAATAGTTTCCAAGCAAAACCTCGAACAGACAGACAGACATATCGAAACTATAAGGGTTCCTTGTCAGGACTACGGAACCCTAAAAACGCAAGATAAACACCAGATTCTCTACCTACGAGCTACGAAGTACCTATGTCTAAAAGTATGTTTTGTTTGCATGCACATCATTAGGACGAGGCATAATCTGTTACTAACTTCACTGCTCTATTAATTCGACACAGAAAAATGGAATGTATTTTCAGAAGAAAAAAGATCAAAACTAATTTTATAAGGTTTGTCATCTGCGGGAGCAAATAGATAAACGACCGGCCGATAATCAGCTCTAGTTTTACTTGCTGTGAGATATTGAATCATAAAATGATACAAGAAGGTCTATATTCGATTGATGACGTTAACTGCGAGCCCAAACGGGCCAAGCTCGGACTAGTCTAGTTTAGTTCACGGACGATTCCAACCGGCTGACAGCTTACACGGATTATTGCAGAAAAGCTACGCCGAATACAACAAAATGGTGAAAATTGACGTGAAGTACACAAAGGTATGTAATATTTTAACAATAACAACACTGGGCAAGGCTTACATTAATAGCACTGTTGCTAATCGCGACTTGCCTCCTAGTTAATTTATAGTTCAAAATTATTTTTTGAGAAAAATTAATTAACAAAACACTACACTAGGTACATATTCCATTAGATCTACGAACACGAAAATAATTAGAATATTTTATTTAATGATATTTTATACTGTAGAATTAAGATTATTGTTTAATATAAATACCTACCTAACTAGTACAATTATTTTATTTGCAATAATAAATTGTTAATAATTTGTGAACATTTTTTATGCTTAATTCAAAAGATATGCATACAACACGTAATATTTTATCATTACTTTTCTGCTACATGTTTTGTTTACTCCGTTTAGTTAACTATGTAAGTAAGTAGCTATGCATTTGGGAAAACAAGATTACTTTTGACAACAACATCATTAAAATACTTCCAAACAAGTTAATATAAATTACATCACCTCGTAGATAATAAAAATAACAGTACATGATTTGATTGCTCTTACTGTCAACAAGTAATTTAACCATAAAGATTGTAGACTTTCTTAGATTCCAATTACCATTCAAGTTTAGATACTTACCTACTTTCAAAATAATAATTGAAATTTTGATTCATTTCAATATGTTTTGTACCGAAAAAGCGATAAGAAACAATTAGCTCTTATCAGGGTACGTACGAAAAAAATATTCCAATTCAATCAATGTCACCCTGAAAGTTATTACGAATATTTATCACCTCTTCAAATTCAAATTAACAAAGTATACCAACNACTTCATGAACATTATACGCCCCAAAAATTGTGTTTACTTGTTCTTTACTACCATGGTAACTGTACGAAAAAATCAAATGGTATTTACGTCCCAATTTTCACGATAATTTCTGTTTAGCTTATCAAAAATGATGGGTCGTAAAGGCACTTTTTTTGAGAATTTCGACAAACTAAATATACAGATCGATAGAGAATTAAATTCTGAGTAAAACTGTATAAATAACTCATTTTCGGTATTTTGTCCTTTACGACCTTTGAGCCCAGAGGTATCGATATGTTTATCATAAATAACTTAAATTAATAAACAATAGAAATTGTAGCTATATTAATACCAAGATTCATTTGAAATGCATTATGTAGAATAGACCTACTCAGTTGAATCGTTGAATTATTTTGGGTAGTATTTAAACGAGTGACTGTAAATTTATGTTGTAAGTGTCAAAAATAATTAATTTTGGCTAAAGAATTACTAAGTGAGCGACTGAGTGCGAGTGACGAAAAATCAAAAAATAGCAACTTAAAAAAAAATTGAGTTCCTTAAAATACAAAATGAGAAGCTTCATAATATTTGAGCGACCTAATATTTGATTGAGTATCAACGTTAGGTCTTGCATTTTTTTCAATATTTGGCAAATGCTTTTTTATACTGAGCGGTATTTTTAACTTTAATGAAGTGTTTCGAATGCAAAAACTACTTTGAAAAATACTATTATGAGCAGCGTATTATGAGCCCACATTTAAATATTTTTTTTTAATGNGATCATTCAATAATGTTACACGTGCTTTGACTTAATATCTTACGGTAAAAGTTCAGGAAATTTTATAGCTTATCAAGTACCTACTCATCTTAAAGTTACCGATTTTATTAGTGCAAAGCCAGATCAAGTTGGAAGGTTTGACATTTCTGGATATTGTCAACTCGTAGTTAATTCAATTTATCTATAGTTGAAACAAGTCATGGGCAAAAGCTAGCTATAAGTTAAGTAAGCGCATGTATAAGTATACGTTTCATTTCAAGATGGCAGCACCTTACAGGTCCTCCGGTCCATACTAATCAGGGCTAAAAGATTATTTTAAATCTATGCTAACAAAGTCACGGGCAAAAGCTAGCTACAAGTTAGCATATGTACACGTTTCAAATCAAGATTAGTACCTATCGGGGTTCTCCCGTCCATACTAATCAAGGCAATACGGTCCTCATTTGATTTCACCTTAGCTAACTAGTTTTGTGGTAAATCCAATCTCTTTGGTGACCAAGCTTAATACTAATTAACGATAATGTACTGGAAAGAGATAAATTGTTTTCGGTCTTTGCGAAAACGAATGAATAGGTGTGGCCCAAAAGATAATATACTTATATATCNAAATACATAAATATTATACATAGTCACACCCAGACCCGTCACAGAAATTAAAATTCATCATTTCAATTTCTGCCCGGCCGGGAATCGAACCCGGGACCTCTCGGCATAGTAGTCCGTTCTGAACCACTACACCAAATGGCAGAGAATGAAACTATAGTGCATTTTGTTCCTCATGTCAATACTAATTTGTAAACCGGAGCGCACTGAAATCTATCCCTGGAGTTAGGAGAAAAAAAGAGTTTTGTTTGGAATTATTTACATACAAAATACCATCGATGTATACCTAGTACGCATTAGATTTCGCGATTTTGGCATTAAATAACACTCGCTATGTTGGACTTAACCATACTGCATCCGTACACCTTACTTTAGTACGACTTCGACATTATTTATAAGCGATCAAGCGCTGTTGCAGTAGTTTGGTTAGTTGACCGAAATTAATTATTTCCAAAATGGAGCAAGAAGTTTTAGCTTACAATAACTTCAATAATCGATTGTAATACACCAATAAATTGATTTTTCGCAAGGATAGAGAACTAAAACTTCTTGCTTCATTTTGGAAATAATGATTTCTGTCAACTAACCAAACTATTGCAAGAGCGCTAGATCGCTTATAAATATTGTCTAAGTCGCACTAAAGTAAGGTGTATGGATGCAGTATGGTTGAGTTCAACATAGCGAGTGTTATTTAATACCAAGATCACGAAATGTTATGCGTAGTACGTATATATCGATGATATTTTGTAGGTAAATATTTCAAAACAAAACTCTTTTTTTCTCTTAACGCCAGGGATAGATTGAAGTGCGCTTCGGTTTACACATTAGTATTGGCCTGAGGAACAAAATGCACTATGGGTTGATTCTGGGCGGCACTTGGTCCAGACCCTGGCACTATCCTTTATTCTTCTTTTATGTTTGCGCTACAAGCTTTCGAAATTATTTGAACCTTGCATAAGTACAATTATTTTTTTCGTTTTAGTACAACTGCATTTCAGAATAAAAACTTGTTTTAAAAAAGTTTTTTATTATAATTTTATTTTACACTTTTTAGTAGTATCTCAGAGCCTTAGTTCAATTATAATACAATTTAGCACCAAAGTGCTCGAAAAGACAAATCCAGCAAACCCAAACTCGATAAGTTTCCACCGTTTCGTTTAGGAATTCCTATGGCCACCTCCTGACTCCATCATCAGGACCCTGGACATCATCTAGTACTAAAGAGCTCGAAAAGACAAATTCAACGAACCCAAATTTGATGCGATGCCGCCGTTTCATTTAAGAGTTCGTATGGCCACCTCATGACTCCATCATCAGACCAGCTCAATGGTACCATAACATTGCATTGTCATCGTACTTACATAAGTATACCAAATTTCAGCTCAATCGGTTGAGGAAAACTGGTCTTAAATTCAGTTGCAAGAGTTGTCCCACACATACTAACAAGTGTCGTTAGTGATCTGGTTACAAAAACTGTTGTTTTGGGTTCTGGAAGTTCTGGAAGCCCGAACGTACTTGTCAGAGCGCGTTTTTCTAGCGTTTTTCAGCGTGCCTGCTGTATCTTTTTGGTAAATAGTAGGTACTGGATTAACGATTAACGGACTTAGGATAATTTAACGGAAGTTAACGAGTCCGTTAACATTTTTTAGAGTTAACTTAAAAGTTAATCCGTTAATAGAAATGTTAACTTCGTTAATTAACGATTAACGGATTAACGAGTTAATGCCCAGCTATGTTTATTGGTACTTTTCCGACAATCAGAGGAACTCTAAAACATCAATATTGTGTTGCAGTTGTTTATCAACAATGAGTGGGTGGATGCGGTCAGTAAGAAGACTTTCCCTACCATCAACCCTCAAGATGAATCCGTCATCACCCAAGTAGCTGAGGGAGACAAGGTAAACCTACTATTGTTATTATGAGCCGATAAAAAGTAAGTAACGATCATAGCTGAAACCATATCTGAAATAATGAAAAGGAAAGGCCTGTCTACTGAGAGCAGTACACTGAACGATGTAAATCACTCACTTCATCTGCTTATAGTTTTAAATGACATCACAAAAAAATGCATTTTAAATGATATTTCAATTTGATCATTTAGTGTTACGAGGAAATAGTTTGTAGCTTTCATTAAATTTTTACAATATTGGTAGGCTGACATCGACAAGGCAGTAGCAGCAGCAAAAAAGGCATTCAATCGGTACTCCGAATGGCGAACTATGGACGCATCTCAACGTGGACTTCTCCTATTGAAACTAGCAGACCTGATCGAGTCCCAAGCTAGATACCTAGCTGAATTAGAGACGCTGGACTGTGGGAAGCCAGTGAAGATAGCTGAAGAAGAAGTGTACTACTCAGCATCGGTTCTGAGGTACTACGCGGGAAAAGCCGACAAGATAATGGGAAATACTATTCCAGCTGGTGAGTACTTAAAAATAACTCTGAATGAATGTAAAATGTTGGCACTTGCAGATTTTTACCCTATGCATGCGGATGATTTTGATTCTACAGGAAGTTCCTGAAGAAGTCCAAGTGTTCCAAGAAATCACAATGGTTAGAATCTTCATAAAAAGAAATTATCCCCATGTTACCTTTTCAGGCAAATATTTAAAAAAGCACGTAACTTATCTTTTTATTTCTCAATATAAAAGACTGCTTAAAAGTACCAATTTACTAAAAGTTAACCTATTGACTAAATTTTCATCGAAATTTTGATTTCTAAGCGTAACAAAAAAGTTATGTAATTTTCACTGACCATATTCATAATAAACATCTATCGCTGGCTACGATAGTAAAGGAAATTCAGCAATTCAGGGAAACCATTTATAAATGAAGGTCAAGTTATATTATAAAAGGCATATCCAACAAATGACTGACAAATAGAGCACTTTGACAAACAAGAGTCAGTTATAATCGGTTTAGTTCGTGATTTACTACGCATATCGCATTGTCTGAGACACTTGCTAGTTACTGTTTTACTTACAAGTTATTTATACAACGTGTTTGCCATTATTACATTGCATTGGAACTACTCATCTGTAATTATGCATGGTGTAGACGCAGTTTGCTACATCTGTAAATAATAATAGGTTCTTTTATTACGTATTCAACTTAATACGTTAATTTACTTTTATTTACATCTCATCAGTACTGGCAATTCTTTCCTCTTATCATCAGTTGATTGACGTCCTGTCACGCCGTCTACGATATTTCTGCGTGATCAATATATGACTCGAAAATTGGGCCACAGTCTTGCTCTTGGCTTGGCCCTGACCATTACGGGAACTATATCCAACATAATTATGTCGTTCTATTGGATTATTTGTTTGAATTTAATTGATTTTACTGTGTTATCTGGCCAGTTGTGTAACTGGCTTGCGCATGCGACTCCGTGCGCGTGTATCATACACTTACACGGGTTGCACCGTTTATGTTCATTTCTTACGTCGCAAGTGGCACACTAAGCTGACCGTAACAAACTTTAAAGTAATGAAGATGTATTAGATTTTTAGTAATCTATTGAAAACATTTTGAATTTGATATTTTGTAACTGAGCCTGCTACTGCAAATAATTACATAGATAATTTTATTTACTTGTCCTGATTAATGTTGTTTCGTGGTTTATTATTTGATTACAATTTCTGCATATTATAACGATGCATGCTTTACATACTTATACTTTGTTGTTCTATAAAATGTTATCAGAATGTCAACATTTTTTTACAGATGGAGAAGTCCTCTCCTTCACACTAAAGGAACCTGTGGGAGTATGTGGACAAATCATACCATGGAACTACCCTATTCCCATGCTGTCTTGGAAAATAGCTCCAGCTTTAGCAGCAGGTAAGAATCGAACGATGTATGCGATGTGGAAGTCATTGGGGGAGGCCTATGTTCAGCAGTGGACGTCCTGTGGCTGAAATGATGATGATGATGATGAAGAATCGAACGTAACCAGCCAGATAGTATTGTTATTGAATAGATAAGGAGGTTGCAAATCAGGAGAGGGGACATTCAAGAATTGAGAGATCAGGCTCAAGTTATCCTGGTTTTGAAGCTTTTTTAATGTAGTACCCCTAAATAGATTTTCATAGACTATTACTATGATTATGTCCACACTAAATCTATAAAATTGGTTTTTATTATTGGAATTTATGGAAATGCTAAACTATAACATCGTATCTTCCCCAAGGTTGCACAGTAATCGTGAAACCAGCCGAGCAGACCCCTCTCACAGCGTTAGCCATCGGAGCCCTTATCAAAGAGGTTGGGTTCCCACCAGGAGTGGTCAACATCGTCCCAGGGTACGGTCCCACAGCTGGTGCTGCGTTGACACACCACCCTGACGTCGATAAAGTTGCATTTACAGGGTCTACTGAGGTAAGACTTAATATAGAATTAATAGTAGAATCTTCAAATCTGTGTTATGGCAAATTATTCTTAATGTAGTTGCAAGAAAAAGCAAAGAAATTAAAACCACACTGGTAAAGACACAAGTGCACTGTACTGAGAGTGCCATCATAGACAATTATTCTCCAAAAGCAGCTTTCTTTGTACGTAATGGAATACCGTAATTTCAATAAAGTAAGTTGAAACGTCTACAGGTTGGGCGTCTGGTTTTGGGAGCTGCCTCAGTAGTGAACATCAAACGAGTAACATTGGAGCTCGGAGGAAAAAGTCCGTTAGTTGTATTCGATGATGCAGATGGTGAGTTCCTCCTACCAGATTTAAACGTAGAACATAACCACTTTTACATGTTATCGCTTCTGATAACAGAATCACTTACTGTAGACCCAATTAACTCAAACTTTGAACTATTTCAGTGGAAAAAGCCGCACAAATCGCGCACGCAGCGGCCTTCGCCAACGGTGGTCAATGCTGCTGTGCTGGAACCAGGACCTACGTGCAAGCTGGCGTCTACGACCAGTTCGTCCAGAAGGCAGCTGAGATAGCCAAGAAGAGATCTGTCGGAAACCCCTACGATGATGTACAACAGGGTCCACAGGTAAGAAAAACATTTGAAGGGATAATCGCAACGTAGCAGACAACTGACAAATAGACTGTTCACTTTCTTTAAATTATGAATAAAAAGAAAAACCCCTTTAACACGTGTGGGGTTACGTTATTTGAGTGGCAGAAATAGGAACTAAGAAAAAATAAGCATCTTATTATTAGAACAAATCTTAAAAATAGACATTTCGGGGGCAATAACCTCTCAATTTTTTAAAGGAGGATTTATTTCCATATAACTGAAATGCGACCACACTCGATATGTTAATGTGATGTTATCATATCGACTTTAGACTCTCGGCAAAACACAATGCATGCAAACGACATTACAAAAATAAACACACTTGTGATACGCGGCTACTCGATTGGAATCCATAAAACGTTCACATCATTGGTGCTGTAAATTCTAGTCATGTTTCAAACTATTTACACGTAAACATCTACTTACATGAGTAGTGCTATGAATGGGACTATTAGTATTAGTGGGCCAAGTATACTTTCCCCAAAACCGATCCGTATATCCGGTTTCACATTCTAGAATATTCTATGGATGTTACTTTATTTTGGGTTCATAGTTCATAGGGACCTAAGGTCAGCAAATAGATATTTGGAAAAGCGTTTTGTATGCCCAAAAAACTGGTATTACACACGGGAACCTAAGCTGGCAGCAAAGACAGTTGCAGACACATTACGCCGCAGGCTTTCCATTGCACAGATCCAGTGCAAGTGACCTTCAAAGGGTCAAAGAGCATACACTAATAAAATTTCCCCTTTCAGATCGACAAGGAAATGTACGATAAAGTTCTGGGATACATAGAAGCTGGTAAGAAGGGTGGCGCACGCTGTGTTGCTGGTGGTGGAAAAGTAGGAGATAAAGGTTTCTACGTCAAACCTACAGTCTTCGCAGATGTCCAAGATGACATGAAGATTGCGAGAGAAGAGGTGAGAACTCTCGATTTATTTGAAATACATTTGGTGATTTCAACAAAGGTGGAACAATAGATTAATCTCATGACGATTGTTTAGAGTTAAACTTGTGAAATTGCCTACAACTTAAATGTGTATTTAAATCCTTAACGAATGGTCAGGTCAATTTGGTCACAATGTATCGAAAGCACATCAGACTATACATTTTTGCTGCAAAATAGTGACTATTACAATTACATAAGATGCCACAGTGTTTAGCTTGATGTGCTATCGTCTGTAAAAATGTTTGGTCACATTACATGTACTCAGATAACATAATTTTTGTATGCAGATATTCGGGCCAGTCCAGAGTATCTTCAAGTTCAACACGTTCGAGGAGGCAGTGGAAAGAGCTAATGATACCAACTACGGGCTTGGCGCTGGCGTCATCACCAACGACATCACCAAAGCTTTGAGTTTCGCGAAGTTTGTGCGCTCTGGATCTGTATGGTTAGTAGTTTTACTAAGCCATCTTATTGTATCCCTCTTTTAAAATATTAGAGTCTATTTTTAACCCTCGATGCAAGCAAACAAACCTCCTAAGTCCCTAATACCTCGTTTATTGTATCTACTTCTTTTATCCAATGTCATAGTATACGAAATACTGACTTCTCTTTGTAATGACAATTCGTTCGTTATGTAACTATTACAAATTGTTAATCATCTTTTTATTTTGTGATTAATATTACAGGGTCAACACTTATGACCACGTCACAAGTCAGACTCCATTCGGAGGTTTCAAAGACTCTGGCCTCGGAAGAGAATTGTAAGAAACTTTTCTATTAATTAATCTTCTACTTTTTTACTTTCGCTAAATGTGCAAACGCAACCAAAGAAGACCTGATTTCTATGTAACATATATGATGCTTTGATTAAGATAAAGATATTGGCAATCAGCTTTTGTAGAACATGACGTAACCAGATTGTTTTTAATTTACAGAGGAGAAGATGGTATTAACCAATACCTGGAATGCAAGACTGTCACCGTGGCATTACCAAAAGTGCCTCAGTTTTAATATTTTTATTTTATTTCTTTTATATTTAATATTCTATATGTCACCACAAATATGACCTCAATGGTTCAAGGTATTTGATATATTTTTATGTTTACACAATCAATATTGTTAACAATAAATATGTTACATTTTTGATCACCTGTTGTACAGAAAATCACCTATCTATCAAATCGAATACAGATAAAAAGGTATTAATTTATAACAACGCATAAATCCATACTTAATTAGGTATCAGACAAATGTAAGAAGTGCACTCTACATAATAATGACGGCCGATGGGGCAGCAAGGTTCCGGAGTGGAGGCCGCGTACCGGATAACACAGCGTGGGACGTCCAACCACATGGGGGACCGACGACGTCATAAAGGAAACAGGAAGGCACTGGACGCAGGCCGCTACCAACCGGGTAACATGAAAAGCATTGGGGGAAGCATTGTTCAGCAGCGGACGTCATATGGCTGAGATGATGATGATGATGATGATGATCACAAATTACTCACCAACAATCTTATACTGTTTCTCGGTGAGGTGGTTGGATATCATTCCGCAGATGTGTGCCCCTAAGGAATGGCCTACGCACGTGGTCATCTTGGCCAGGCCCCCAGCCAGGGTTATAGATGAATAGAGCTGGGCTGTACATTGGGATGTCAGCCTGAAAACGGTCGAAACATAAAATTACAAAATGGTATAACGTTTCCATCAAACAAATCAATTTTTGAAATGTATAAGATCCAATAAACAGGTACAAAAATGATACAAAGAGGTTGGCACCAGTAGTTTTAAAACTAAAAACATCATAAAACATAAATGTATGGTTATTTATCTGATAAATAATGTATGAACAACACCGCAATAAACAAAGGAAATTACATAAAAAATCCCACAGAGAGAATAGGCATACAAAACCATCACAATCTGTGGTGGTAACTGCTTATTGAACTGAGACGAGTGAAAGGATTGTGTGGGTAGTAAACAAACTTACTTCATATTAGATAACGCCGACAGGTAGCAGGGAAACCTGGTGAGCGGCGACCAGTCCACCATGAACACGTTGTGGTCTTTGCGGGATAGGTACGCTGTAAGGTTTCACATTGATTTTTGTTTAACATCATAATAAAGTATTTACTTAGTAAAAGACTAGCACAACTTGTATATTAATTTATTACTTGCTTGCAATCGAAAATACATAGAAGATGAACGTATGCTTAGTCATACAATACAGTAAGTGAAAGTAAATTTTGTAGCGGTCGAGGAGGCAATTTCTAAGTCCTGAAACTTACCTCATCTCGCAGAATCTTAATGTCATACGATAAAGTCGTGCCAAATAAACCTTGAGGGAGGATACATACATACCTTCAACTAAAAATTGGGCAAATTCAAATGCTATAGAATTTGAATCATATGACAACAGCCCAGTAAATAATATTATTATTGCTATAAAGCTCACCATCTCTTAGTAGCGTCATAGGTGACTTGCTATGAGTCCCGTTGAACCCGTGGATGATCAGGACGTTCTTCCTGGAAGCCTTCCAGCCGTAGTCCACCAGGTGCTTCGGGTACCGCACGTCCACCCACTGCTGGTAGGGGCGTTCCCTGCTCGAAGAACACTGTTATACGTAATGCTATTTGACTGGTCACTAGAACCGTCTTGGAACATTTAGGTTGAGTTGCACCAACTAACTTTAACGGTATCTATAGCCATAACCGGTGGCTTTTGTATGGAGTTTGACAGATTTTTGACGCTTGTTAAAGTTAAAGTAAGATAGTGCAACCCGGCCTTAGAGTTTATTGGATCAGAAAATCTCAAAACGATTCATGTCTCTTTCATACTAACTTCGACAATAGAATGCCGTACTGGCAAGTGGCATGAGATGTTGAGACGTAATTTATAAAAGCCAGTAAATAAAAGTAAAATTCGTAAATTAAACTGTCCACCAGCAGTTTCACCGCACGTCCACCCACTGCTGGTAGGGCCGTTCCCTGCTCTGACATTCAGCAAAAGTACAATTTTAACTGTACGTAGTTTTGATTTTGAAACATAAGTAGGTACTGATTAGTCAGACTGATACTATATCTACTATGAAATTTCATTATGGTGTTTTTTTTGAGATACGTAAATTCAAATGTGCTGTGGAAAATTTTCTGAAGCCATTTGAACCAAATATTCTAAAATATTTAAAAGGTGAGTTGTTTGTCTCAATTTATAGGGCCGATGAAATTCTTGCCATTTAATTTATTCGTATTTCCTGTTCCAAGTCAATTATTTGCCATAATGATCTCGTTTATAAACGAAACTCTCTTTCCTCAGTCATGGTGTTGACCTATGGAGAAACGTCTCATTTCTAATTTATCTCCCTCGATCAAATTTCAATTATGACTGAATACCTACCTAAAACCTTAGTATCGAAATCAAAAACTTGATGGATGGATGGATGGAGGATCTTAATTTCTTTTAGAATAACAAACTGACACGGCATCATAAGCAATTGGTATGGTGCAACTATCGAACAATCGAAAGATTTGTTTAAAGCCATAATAACTAAACTATAAATAGAAAATAAGTAAAGATACTTACGGTGTAAATAGGAAGAAATTAATCTCACTGTCTGGACATTTCCACTCGCGCTTCATCACACAGCGCCAGTACCGAAAGTCTATCATGGACATCAAACTGCCTTCAGCATCTGGAACTATAATAAAAATCCATCAGCAACTGTTACAAATACAACTGTTGTAAATACAGCAGTCCTTTTAGCATTCATTCCAAACAGTATGCCTGAAAGCTGTGTAAGTCTCTACTTAGGCCCGGACTAAAACAAACCTGAGGCCAGATGAACATAGCGGAAAATCCGGGCCTTAAAAAGTGCCTAGAAGTGACCAGGACCGTCTGTCAAGAGTGAAATTATAGAGAAAAAAAGTTACCATATTTCTAAATTAATAAACCCTGACTCAAATCACTCAATTAAACGTTCCTTATGAAATGGCAGTCAAATTTGTGATTAGTATCTAAGATAGGTATTCGTATCACAGTCTAGAATCTATGTTTGAGTTACCTAGTTATTAAACTTCGTTTCATAATACGAGTCTTGTCTCTACATCAACCAGTTAGATTACTAGGTTAGGTATTTAGCTCAAGTTGAATGTAAAGACTTTATTTAATGTTAGAAAGGCGAATGTTACGCTTTTATAAAGTAAATGAGGAAATTAGTCTAGACCAGTATTGATTTTCTCCAACTCTACCTTTATCAATTTTGCTGCAGCTGGAAGTATTGAATTCAATAAGTAAATCGAAATGGATTTTGAATTGTATATAGGTAAATGAGTAATTTGTCATAATCTAAAATCATGAATATCATCATTCATCATCGATCCTCGTCTTATTGCGTAAAACCTACTCTTTAATTGTTTTCTTATATTCATACTATTTTAGATATTCATAATCATAATGCAAAATAACATCGTTTACAAATAAACCAATTTCACCGCTTTCATCATATGACTTAGGTTAACTAATCTTATTGAAGCTTGTTGAAGCCTATAACTATAAAATTAAAGATCACTATCAACCTTCAAACAGGTTTCTTCTCTTAACCAAAAATAGCTTCATGATGCGTACATTCTCTTCCTAGCAAATTAGACTGTCATATAAATCATCTGGCTCTAGAAAGAAAGTGAAATTTAATGATATTAAATATAACTCGATTCTATTTATAAACTCTACATTCAAATAGCTCTATTAGATAACTGAATTTCGTAAGCATACAAAATAAAATGTAGCAGGAAAACATCATTAGCATAAAAGTAATAGCATAATTTTAATAATCGTAGATATTTATAAAATTCATTATTTTTTAGTTGTGAATGACTACACACATTAAACGCGAAAGTGTGGACATGATAATTATGATAAATGTTTGTAATTGATTGTAAAAATAAAGTGCGATTTTTCAACAAAAAAGTACATTCTGACGTGCTATCAACTGTACTTGTAGAAGTACATCAACGTACCCCTCGTAGGATGCTCAATAAACCACGGACCACTTTCACCGCATGCTGGCCACGAGATGCACCTGCATTCAAGTTTAATGCAACCTACTTAACGCTCTGACTGGTTTCTCACCTAGTTTTCGACTTACGTAAGGTGATAAGGCAAGTTCATGAGCACTTTTGATTTGAATTTGGTCATTAAAATTGTACTTTATTTTATGAAGTTAAGTTTTTATCTTAATTGCAAGAGCATGGATTTACACAGTTATAATATGCAATTGCATTAAGAAAAACTGATACCTGAACGTAAGTAAATAATTTATCAATTATCAGACTTGTTCGAATTTAACACTTTCCGCTTCGTTAGCTGATCAGCGAAATGAATTCTTCGCCGAAACAAAAAATAACATCACAATAATTATACCCTTTTCTTAAATTCTTGACTTTTGCTAACACGCAACATCGGCATTGTTAGCTCAGTGAGAACTAAAAAATAAGTAGAGCTACAAATGTATAAAAAGCAGAAAACAATATAGCGCTTAACGTTGAAAGACGTGAAAGAAAGTTCCGATTTCTTAGTTTTTGTTTCTACCAACTTTTACTTTCAAAAGATAAACTTAAAAAATCAAATAACGCAAAAAATACATAATACTTATACGAGTACTTTAATCCTATCTGGCTGTAATGCAACAATGTTGGACTCAATTAAATTAAACCACAAAACTATTGTCTTTTTTATCTCTGCTCTACCACAAACAAGGCAAAATTATAATACTGTAATTTTAAAGCTTTGTTTTAGTTACGCAATAATCACCCAGAATAAAGACACTAAACCACAACTATTTCTATTCCTGAGCTTGACATAATTGAAAAACTCTCGATTAAATGTGTACGAAATGTAGTTCGCACAATACACGCGTGAATCGATGCGTGCAAATTGATTTGTTAAAATCATTCTACGAGCACAGTGAGTGAGGTTTATTACCATTACGGTAACGTAATAAACTTCCGTAACGTGTCTATTAAAATTGAGAAGGTGACACTACCTAACAAACAATTAACATACTTTAGCGTTTTAGAGCAGCTTGCCAGCCAAAACAATATTCCTTGAGGATATTTTTTCTCGACCTACAAATTATGTACCTACCTAAGTATTAACTTTAACATCGCTATTAATTTAAAAAAAACATTAATTTTGATGACTGGGTTTTAAGAAGAGTAAAAAGTGTTATCGTGTAAGATAGAATAGAATAAGAAAAAAAAAAGAGAGAGCCTTGGTACCCATAACACAAGTTAAATCTTAGCTTGGGTACCAGGATTCACTCAACATACTGTTTGTGTTCCTATCTAGATAGTTGTAATCCATTTACTGTGTTGTATAGTACTTATTATTATTCTGTGGTTGTATGTTTTAGTGTAACACTTTATGTCAATAAAGAATTTATTTATTTTATTATTATTTTATTAACACACACTGATTCGTTAAGCCATCGAAGTAGAGTAAGTAAGCATGGTCTTGGAATGTCAACTACTAAGCTGTATGTAGAGCAGTTTTTCTCGTATGCATGATCTGTCTATCATCATTCCATCACCGATTTACATTGTGTATGCGCAAACGCTTTATCCGGCCATCTGGTGGAAAAAACACAATTTCTCTTTTACTGAGCGCGGGCAACGGTGCGGAAAACCGGTCAAATGGGGATTGTCGCGTAATGTTCGCGGTTCTGTATCATTAAGTATCATTTAAATATTTTCTCTTAATTATAATCATTTTAAAGTTTACTTTACATAATGTAAATAAATATTTAAACAACGTTTCTAAAAGACGATGTAATTAGCCACAAGTAGGTAGGTAAGTTTTAATTATTTGACGTAATATTATTATTATATTCTTTATTTTTACAGGAAGTAATTAATGTTATATAAACAAATCAACAAGTGCATTATTAAATATTTATTCTCTTTTGTAAGCTAATGAACTTAATTTTTTTTCGTGATTTAGATTATGCGGCATAATCATTTAATGCTATTATGTTGTTTCTGAATTAATGTAGTCGAGTATGTGGTGTAAGTAAGTAAATAACAGTTTTGAGCTCATTAAAACCAGCTAAGTGAAAATTTTAACTTCATTAACACAGGCATTTAACTGTTGGCATATTAAAAGCATGCTAAACCTTACCTACGTTTTGTAGGTAAGGTTAAAAATAGTCCAAATTTATTCTTAAAATATCTACCTACAGTAATTTAAATTAAATAAGTTATTATTTTCAACTTTGCAAGTAAATTGTGTGTAAACATTTTACCTACCACACAAGAATACTTTTTAGATACCAATCCTGATGTCATGCGAAAAAGTATCTGAATTATTTTCCTAGTGCGTGTTCCGCGCGGTAAATTTTTTGCGGTTGATTCGTGCTTACTGCAAAAATAAATATCTTTTTGCGAGTGAAAATACAATGTAAGCAATACAAAGTGTAAAATATTCTTGATTAGTCGCATAAAAAAATGTAAGAGGGAAATGCTTGAGTTATTGTTAAATAAGTATATGAAAAAACAAATTACTTACACTTTAAATACTAACTTTATATTACGATATCAGTACATACTTTAGAAATATTTAGATGTTTTCACAATTCATAAATTAAATTAAAAACATAACAAATTATAGAAAACATTAAATAAATAAATGTTATTTTACATACCGACATCCAGGTAGAGCGCGAACAAGAAAACCAAAGACAATCCATAGTTTTTCATCCACATTTTACACACTACACATAAAACCTCCTTTGTTTACTTTTTTACATTCTAAGCACTAGCACACAGTCCGTTCATGTGTTCCAATAATTTTGAATTGAGAACGCGGTGACATTTGATACAGTTCGCGCGCTTTCGCGGAAGCAAAGGCGATCAAGCCTGCGCAGCCTAGGCTTTGTCTCAATGCGACAGTCGAACGCGGGTGACTCCGTCGGCGGAGAAATGCTAATAACGGCATGGGAGCGGGCGTAAACCGATTCAACCAAAACGCGTCCACTGAAAAGAAAGTAAAACTTATTTCATTTCGCATTCCAGTTAATTGTGCACTTACTCGTTTCTCAGGATTTGCGAGTACAGTAAAACAGATGGCCTTCATTATTTATGTTCTACTTAATTCAACTCTAAGAAACGACTTTACTTTGTGTAATTCCCAAATCAATTAGTACCTATTATAACCATATTAACCCATATCTAACGTAGTGGATTTTGTAAAATTTTTGAAACTTTTTAAGTTTTGAGAATTTTATGTACCTACATTTATTAAAAAAAAAGCAAAAATAACAAACCTCTGAAAATAAAGCTTCACTTTCCCGCCAAGAAACAAATTCAAACTTTTTGCTGTCAACTTACCACTCCGCAACTGAAATAGCGTCATCTATATTTTATGTTAGTACAACTTTTAATAAAAGGCTAGGATTCGATTGTCGGTGGATGTTTTAACAAACATCAAAATGTCATTTTAATCTTTCTTTCTCACAATAAAAATAACCTTTCATGAATGAGTGTAATGAAACCAATATCTGTGAATGAAACCTGTTTTATTTTTATTAACACTACTATCAATCTCTACTCTTCATTTAACTTCAATAAAAGCTCTAAAATTAGTAAACTTATTTATCTTAAATTAATATTTTTTTGTTATTTTTAGAACAGTCTATTTATTTCTTTACGTAGTTTAGTACGTGTATTGTACCTAAATCGTGAATAACGTAGTGACAGTAAAATTAAATAAATCTTTTATAATATTTAATTTTATGTGGATATTCAGTGAATTCCATTGTGGTTTAGGTACTGATAAGATAAAGACAAGTAGGTATGTAGTTAGGTACAGTCATAGCTTTTATTTAACTTGACTCTGAAAACATAACCTCCAAACATTGAGTTATAATGTACTACGTAGTAATATTACTTCAATGCCTCCAAATTAGTACCTACTCATAATAAAGTATCAGAAGTATAAGTCCTTTAGTCTACAATGACATAATTATAGTCTAGTATAAAAAATAATCAAACTTCATAGTTATTATTTTATATTTACTTTTGACTTTCAGATAATTATAATAGATATACTTTATTTATTTCTGAAGTGGATGCTTGGGTGAATCGTCGTCTTCATCTATATATATAAAAATGAAACCCGTTTCGCGTTGTCACGGCATCACGTGTGAACGGCTGAACCGATTTCGATAATTCTTTTTTTTAAATGTTTGTGGAAGTCCAAGGATGGTTCTTACGGAAAAAAATATTAAGAAAATCTCTACGCTAAGGCGGTACGAAGTTCGCCGGGTCAGCTAGTTTATCAATAAATAAACAAATCACGCGCACTCAATCTAGGGCTGACACCTGATTATTCTAAAGCAATATAGGTAATAACTGTATTGAATATCCTATAATTTTAGTATCTAAATTAATGAGTGAACCAAGATTAAGAAGTAGGTACGAAAGCATAGAAACCTCATTCCCAATTTTTGTATGCAGAATATTGTTTGTTGCAATTTTTCGAGATAGCCAGCCCTAAAGTGAATACAAATAAACTGGCGCATGTGCTTTAAGCAGACGTGCCCTTGATCTTGATTAAAGAAACTTCGGTAACGTTAAAAACATCATGATACTGTGTGTTGAGATAGGTTATAGTTCTGCAACATCAATACCTAAACTATTTTTTTGTCTGGCGCCGGGGATCCGGATTCGATTCCTTGTTCCACGTAATACCTACATAGTGGGCTGAAAAAATTTCAAGTATCTATACGTCATTAAAACGGTTTTTTCGTCAACGTATTGCACAATATTGAAACCTTAACACTAATGATTACTTAGAGTATAAAAATTACTCATCATTTTGCATGTGATATCTTCATAGCTCTGATTAAAGTGGCTATAATGATTTATCTTAAATAATGTGTTACCCAACTGCAGAAAGAGGAGTAAGAACTGAATAAGTATAAATCAGTTGTATCAAAATGACTAAAACCAATCCTGGACACGAGTCATTATTATTTATTTATTCTTAGTCATAGTAGTGGACCGACGACATCGTAAAGGTAGCAGGGAAGCGCTGGACGCTGGCCGCTACCAATCGATCAACATGGAAAGCATTGGGGGAGGCCTATGTTCAGCAGTGGACGTCCTATGGCTGAAATGATGATGATGATGATGTTTAGTATAAATAAGTAAGTATACTCCACGATACTATCTCGTGAAATTAGTGAATGAATTGTTCAATGAGTAAGGCAAACTCACATGATTTCCTTTACATACTTTATCTTGTTGACATTTGACTCTAAGCAGCCTTCGCACGATGTCTACATAAACATTGAAAATGTTGCCAGTTGTTAAATACTTCGTAATCTATGTAATAAAACATTGTTTAGAAAGAGACTTATTTCAGTGCGCTTCAGGATTCTAAAATAACGCTAAAAGTACATTAATTTAAGACCATTTGGTTTTAAGATGTCCAATATTATAATTCTATCTTCATGGATAGAATTATAATAATGGACATCTTAAGACATTAAGTCTTGCATCGTTTCATAAGAATGAGTTTTTTTTTACTTATTTCATAGATAAAATTTATAGACAGGTTTTGAATATCCGCGAAGGCAGTTATTTCTAGTAAGTAAATAAAAACAGGATCCTATTTCCTTCAACACTCAAAATCCGTACAGGAAAACGATTTTAGAAGATTTCCCAATGTTAAATGCGCGCGCTTTATCATGGTATCATTTTTGGTTTGTTGTGGTACATAAAGGTACTAAATGACTTCGTCACGAACACTGTGGTGTCTTATTTAATTGAAATAGAAGCTATTTTGCAACGGAAATGTACACATTTCGGCTGAACCATTTAAGAACCTAGTAAGGGACACTTTTTCAGATTTTCGTTTTTTGTCATAAATCACCTTAGAAGGTCTCCACAGGATGTGAAGACAGAAATCGCTCTATTACACTTAACACCGGAGAAACGCGTTGCTAAAAACCTAGTAAGTGCAATTCAAATCTGCAAAAACCATTATCAAAACCTAGCAAGTTACAATGACCATTTAAAACCTAGTAAGTGCATGGACTTACTAGGTTTCAAAATGGTCAATGTGACTTACTATAGGTAAAATGCTACTGTAATTAAAATATTATTTCGAGTTCTGTTGGCTGACACTCGATAACCATATCAAAATCTGGGGACTACATGAGTACTGATTCATATTCGATTTTTATTTTGATTTTTACGGGGCACTTTTGTCAAAAAAATAATTTTTAGTGTTAGTAAAGATCATAAAACTTGCAATTTTTAACTAAATATATTCTTTTATTCCATAAAGTATACTTTAGTAACTAATCTTTAATATAAACATCGGAAGTTATCCAAATCTTTAAGCATCTTAGCAGGGCAAATGAAAATGCGTTTTTTCGCTCTCCTGTAAAATTTGCTCCGCTGCACTTACTAGGTTCTTAAATGGTTCAGCCGATTTATATGACGTCTTCTGTACCAAAATTAACATTGTAGCCGGTAACACTGAGATCGCAGTTTCATAAACACATCTGTAGACAAACGCGCGCACGCGCGTTTTTCTTACACAAACTTGACGAAAACTTTAATAATTTACGAGATAAGTCATACAAATAAAGTTATATTAATAACTTAGTGACCAGTTAGTGTCAGTCTGTAAATTTTATTAAGTTAGTTACGAACTGAAGTGTTTGTTTTATAAATAAGAGGGAATTTAAATAATTTCGTGGTGGAATAACCATTGTTTACTTCAGTAAGTATTTAAATAATTTGATTACTTACGAGTACTAGAAAGAGGATTTAGGCGATTCCTAGCACACCTAGATGAGAGTTCATTTACAAAAGAAAAGTTTAGTGTTTAATTGATGCAACCACAAAGCCTTCGCAACCACAAACCTTTACCTTTACGGAAAGCTTCATGTGTACCTACTTATTATTGCGCTGAATGGATTTTTTATCAGACAATTAAAGTAATAACAATTAATTACCATAATAAATAATATCACCCGGAACTTACAGACGGTGCAAAATAAATTATCTGGAAATAGAAGGGTTACACTGGTTGAGGTGGCCCTTTTCAAGACTTGGAAGCTTGTGGGTAACAAACCATTGGACGTGGAGAGGGTCATTAATTATACGTATATTTTCTACTTTGCCGAACATTAGCGCGAGAACGGTTTGTCCAAAACATATGAATTTGGTCTTATTCAATGCAGGATTAAGTGCCCTTCAACCGTCATGAAGACCACTTTTTGATAGAGTAAGTCCTTTACGCGGTATAACCGGAAAACCGAAAAAACGCCGCTTTCGGGGGCCCCCACCACTTAAGCACAACTCCGTCGAAGTCGAAAACTTAGGAGAGTCTTAATGGGCAATTAATGAAGCCATTAAAACAATAAAATCTTTTGTAGGAATTATTTCCGATTTAAAGGTAATTCTACTGGACTATAGTGCAAATTAAATAATAATGTTAGTTTAGTTTTCAGACAAGACAAAACAATAGGTACCTAATTTACATTACTTTTTGTTTAGATAAATCATAATTATTTTTAATTAAAACATACTTAATAAGTAACATTTTTCCAGGTCATGGAGGCACACATGGAAAACAACAAAAGTGCGTATTTTAAAAATTAATATTCTATAAACACTATGTAAATATTTAAAATTCATCATCTTCAGATCTACATTCAGATTTCCATTACATTTTCGTGTTTAATTTGTTTGTTTTAATATAATCAATAATTTAATATGTATGTGTCAAAGAACATTACTTTGCTAAATCTTTTTTGTTTTGTTTATAAATACCATTTAAACAATAATTCATTTGTACAGTCAATCATTCGTGTCTACGTCCCTAAATATTTTGTTCTAATCCTTTCTACAAATAGACGGTAGCACATCAAACTAAACATTGTAATCTTTATTATGTACAACAAGAGTGATTTTGCAACAAAAATTTAGTCCGGTGTGCTGACGCTGTACATTTTACATCTTTGTTAATTTCTAATGCTTTGTTACTAAGTTTGTATATTTGTTTATAACCTTTGTTTTATTTAACCATTTCTGTTTATAGGTGTTCGAGTATATACGTTCATAGGTAATGTGCTATATCGTGTATTAATTGTTTATGTTTTTACTGTTAACTAAGTTGATATAACAGTAGGTACTTAATACCTAGGCTACTTTCGGTGGTGGTGGATTTTTATCTAATTAACCCCAAAACAAATGAAACTAGATGTTATCCATAGTGAAACTGTAATTAATATTCATTCATTATGAATATAATAAAATTATTATATTACAACTTTTTAGACATGTTTAGATATAATACTAGTATTATATTATCTGTGATATAATTAAGTGAAAATAATTACGTACAACTAGAAAGAGCGGTGAGCTAATTCTCACGCTTTACTTTTATTAATAACTGTTTTTCTTACGCAGATGACAATACAGATAACGAAGAACGCCACGGGAAGTAAGTATCTAGTATTATTTTAGAAGAAGTTTTCATTTATAAATGAAGAGTGAGAGTGAAATTTTACCAAGAGGAAATAGAATAAAAATACTATGTTCATAATTGCATTTAGAAGAATGCTCTTCGATAGTCGTCCTCAATAAGATAGCTGGCAGGAGCTGATTAAATAAAGTGGCAGTGTATTACTTTCTAGCTTTATGTTTAGCAACACACTACCATTGATTGAAATATAAATATAATAATATATCTTTAATGTTTTCATATAGCAATTGGTGGAGGAAAATATGTTTGCGCTGCCACCAAGCGGACTCAACTCCTTCCTGGCGCCCAACGTGGTGGAACCGGCTGTGCCCGTATCCTTACTTTTCAACTTACAGACAAACGGCACAACAGTTCTGCATTATAATGTTCTGTGAGTTCATTTTTTAAAGCAAAAATGGATCATTAATGTCCTATGTAATTTGGAAGCTTACTTCTTTACTTAACTACGTATATAAGTCTTACCATAGGTACAATGGTTTGGGAATTGGATTAAGTTTGTAGTTTTCAATATGATACCTATCTATAGCTATCATATTGAAAACTACAAACTTAATCCAATTCCCAAACCATTCGTGAACGTGATTGTGGTTTACTTTTTCAATTTTGACTACTTTGTGGATAGTTAAAGACTGTCTTCTTTGTGGATAGTTAGACACTATCTTCTGAATATCTTGTTTGAATTTAGTCTAACTATCCTATGAAAATATGTCTTTTTAGTTTTACTCACATGGGGCATATTTTACGTGGAAATCGGAGCACCAGTCAGCTTTCAAGGAGAACTACTGAGTATGAGCGTCCTAGTCATTGCAGCGTACTTAATCGGCTGGATATGGCTGAAGCTGACCACACTACCTGCTTTGATCGGCATGTTGCTGACTGGCATTCTGTTCAGGAACCTTGGATGGGTCACTATGACAGATGAATACAGGAAACTCAATCAGGACTTGAGGTTTGTAGTCTTTGGAGCTATGAGCTGGTACAGATGACGCGTTTGTTGCACGATTCTAGACGCGCGAGTAAAAACGCATCATCTGGACCAGCTCTAAGTAACGGGTATCATCTAATAAGACGTCATTTTATTATAGTTGTAATACTTAGGTAGGTACGCTTTTCCAAAAGAAAGTGTGTAGGTATTAGGTACTCTTATGCCCGTTTTTACCATCAATCCTTAATTTTAAGTGCCCCTATTCAAACAAAATTCATGTTATGTGTTACCATAGGGGTCACTTAAAAAACATTAGGGATTGATGGTATAACGGGCATTAGCCTGATAATGCTTGCCTTATTCGATTTTATTCCTATACAAAATAAAGGTGAGAGCCGCGCTTTGAAGTGTTGACTGTGGTTCCGGTTTAACTCTCAAAACTTTCTTAAATTGCTTAATCAAGATTGGTTGTTTTTCTTGCAGGAAGGTTGCTCTAGTTATAATCTTAACTAGGGCAGGTTTGGGTCTCGATGCTAACGTACTAAAGAAGCACTACGCCGCCGTTTTACAGCTAGGTCTTCTACCGTGGATTGTGGAGTGCATAGCTATTGGTGTTACTACACATTACCTCTTACATTTGCCATGGATATGGGGTAAGCACATGATCTGACATAGCCTTTATCTATAAGATATCTTTCTGTGGCCATCTTCACAAAATTTTAGTTTATTGCATCGTTGACTTTGGTGTCACTGAACTACGAGCACTTGTAGTGTAAATCATAATAATGAAACTACAAAAAAGTCACAACGATGTAAAGACACGAATTGTATGTGTATATTTACATTCCATTCCTTAATATGGTGCACCTTGACTCAACAATCAGCCTCAGCTTATCTAAAACCCTAACGACTTATATTTTATCAGGGTTTCTACTGGGATCAATGATAGCCTCAGTCTCCCCAGCAGTGGTGGTGCCATGTCTGTTTAGACTCAGAGATGTGGGGTATGGAGTTTCTAAAGGAATACCCACTTTGGTACTCGCGGCCACAGCTATAGACGACTCTATAAGTGTAGCGATATTTGCTATAATATTGAATGCCATGTTTTCTACTGGGTCCACCACCTACAACATTATAAAGGTAGGTATAACTATCACGGTAAAGTTTTTAACAAGTTACATTTTAATTCTATGCAACTTTAACAGCATTCATGATTTACTGCTACTATTTTTCAGGCTCCATTATCGATAATAGCCGGTATCGTTCTGGGGTCCCTGTGGGGAACTCTAGCATCAGTGGTTCCAGAAAAAGGAGACACCTACGTCGTGCCATTGAGATTTTTGTTTTTGCTTTTGGGGGGGCTTTTTTCACTATTTATTTCTGGGTACATTGAATGGAGTGGTGCAGGTAATCAACCACTTTCTAATCATGCTTTTATCTAAAGAAGAGCTTGTATGAGTGCTTGATTAAATAATAATTATAAATTCCTTTTTGTTTAGGCCCACTTGCAATAGTGTCATCAGGTTTCGTAGCAGCATTTTACTGGGAAAAGCAAGGATGGCCCATAAACAAACACCCTGTTAGCAACATCTTTAGAATTTTGTGGATATTCTTCGAGCCTATTCTGTTTGCTTTTACCGGTGCTCAAATAACGGTAAGCTTAATTCTTGATAAGATACGGTTAAATGGACAATCTTAATTAAGAACTTTCTCAAATATTTTTTAGATAAGCGAATTGGACCCGCAACTCATGCAAATGGGGGCGATATGCTTGGTCTCTTGTTTGGTTTTACGGGTCATAGCAACTTTCTTGGTGAGCTTCGGTTGTGGGCTCAACAACAAGGAAAAGTTGTTCATCGGGCTGACGTGGATGGCAAAAGCCACTGTACAAGTTAGTGTCCATCGTCCACTTGCGACGACAGTGTGACATCTATATTATAGTTCAGATGTCACATTGTCGTCACAAGTGGACGCTATAATATAAGATGTAGTTTCTACCACTGATTGTGTCAATGGGATACCTACCTACCTAAGATTTGCTTTTATTAGTTTTATTTTAATATACAAAATACAATACAATGCGAACAATGTGTAGGTACCTGTAGTATAAAGAAAATCAATAATAGTTTATTTGGTTCACTTCCAGGCTGCTCTAGGACCCGCCGCCCTCTACTTGGTGAACAACGGTGGTTCTGCAGGAGGGTCTGTCAGGGAAGAGAAGCAACATGCTGAGGCGTTGCTCGCTGTTAGCGTGCTCAGCGTGGTGATATCAGCGCCGCTGGGTGCCGTGCTGATTGCCATTACTGGGCCTAGGCTGCTGAATAAGGAGCAATGTAAGCAGTTATTATAATCACATTTACCCTTGAAACACCCACTGTAAGCTGATTTTTTTTATATTACAAAAGAATGGTTTAGAGGACAAGTTGTATTTTTATAGACGTGATCACGCTTAACATTATTTATTGTTTCTTTTTTTTCAGCGCCCGATAAAAAACTGGAAGAAAACATAACTGCAATTGATGCTATAAATAATTCCACTCATTTATGAGACCTACTTTCTTAGTTACTTATTTCAAAATTTATTAAAAAAAATGCTGTTGGATACGCTTTCACAAAAACTGTGGGTCTAGACAAAGTGCAAATTATAATCGCAAACCAGTCGAAAAGTGATCGAAAAGCCCCTTTTTTGTATGGAGTTTTGACGGATTCGAATTTCGATTCGATCAAAAAGTGCGTTTTGTCTAGGGGGGCAGTGGGTCTAGACAAAGTGCCATTATAATCGCAAACCAGTCGAAAAGTGGTCGAAAAGCCCCTTTTTTGTATGGAATTTGACGGATTCGATTTTCGATTCGATCAAAAAGTGCGTTTTGTCTAGGGGGGCTGTTTACTTAATTTTGTACTTACCGAAATACATCTAATACTCTGTGTACCTACTTAATAATTAAAATGAATGAGAAAAAGTACTTTAAATCTTAAATAGATTTCAAAGATCTGGATTATGGATAATAATAATAATACGTACTTATTGTATTTTTATTAAATTATAATACATTAAGTAACTGAAATATATTAATAATAATTGATCTGAATTAAATTATGATTTTATTTTGTATTTGATACAACATTTTAATATTGTTCATAAATGAAATAAATATACAGGGTGGAAACGTTAAGTGATCTCACTCGATTATTTGTAAACTATACAAGATATCGTAAAACTGATTACTGATTTTGAAAGTGCTTCACAAGCTCTTTCAAACGGTACCAATAATAGGTTACAGAATAAACTGGATCTATCCGAAAATTCAATTTTTCCAGCTTCCATACATTTAGTAAAACCACATAATATTAAAAACTTTACAAGATATTCAAAAACTGATTACTGATTCTGAAAGTGCTTCACGAGCTCTATCCAACGGTGCCAATAATAGGTTACAAAATAAACTGGATCCATTCGAAAATTGAATGTTTCCAGCTTCCATACATTTAGTAGGGCCACAGTCATGGCACTCATGTCTTGTTAATATTATAGCAAATAAAACCTAAAACCAACCTTTTTCAAGAATAATTTAAAATAAGAATGCAATTACGAGTTCATTTTAAGTGTTTATTATTGAATAAAATAAATTAATACTTCTATTATTGTTTGGTTGGCATACATTTAGTATGGAGGCTGAAAACATTACATTTTCGGATAGATCGAGTTAATTCTGTAACCTAATATTGGTACCATTGGATAGAGCTTGTGAAGCACTTTCAGGATTAGTAACCAGTTTTTCGATGTCTTGTACAGTTTAGAAATAATCGAATGAGATCACTTATCGTTTCCACCCTGTATACTTTATTAAATTGTTTTATTAGTTTTGCCTGTTCATCTAAAATAATTTAACTTAGCTAGCTGTTATAGCATCCACCCATCAGATATTATGTCAATATCTATCTTTTGTGTACTGATACACGAAAATTAGCTAATATTGAAAAATTATTATTCCTAAAACGCAGAGTAACACTCCAAGCTTAAAGAACCAGTCATATTGCTTCTCCATTGTCAATACTCGATGTTTTTTTAAAGTTACCGTAGGCAATCATATTTTTAGTACAAAACCCAATTAACAGATGGCGCTATTGCGTATTATTTGGTAGTACAAAACCAATTAATATTATAATTTTTTGTCGTTTTTGCCTGTCTGTTCTCTAATACAAAAAAAAAACAAAGTGTCATGTTCTGTTTTTTTGTTTTGTTTGTCGAGTTGTTGCGGAACGCGAATTGCTCAAAACTTTTTTCAAAATTTTATTTATTTAGGTCTATATTTATTTTTCATTCTATCATGTCGGTCATAGTAATAGCTGTAGCCAGTGAGAGTGGCGTGCCTATTTTTTCACGCAAACGCGGTAACAGCGAGAATGTAAGTTTTAAAAGTTTACAAAGAAAATACCTTGAATATTTCCAAAATTTACCTATACTTTTATTATAGGTACAATTTTCAACAATCGCTTCCCTCCACGGTATCAACATGTTCAGTAAATGCCACAATTTATCAATGATTAAAACACAAGTGGACAATGGAAATATACTTTGGAAAGAATATTGTAAAAGGTAAATATTTTGTATTTGTGGGTACAGACACTACAGATGTTATTGAATTGTGAGATTTAGCCGAAGTTTCCTAAAGGCAATTTTGTATCAAGAAGTCTAGGCCAGTATCAACTGCTTCTGTGTTAACTGTTAAGTCAATTAATTTATTTTTAATTTGCTACTTTTCAGTGTTACATTAATCGGTATAGCCACTGGCGGTTTAGAATGTGATCTGGAGCTCCTCCTATCCTGCGTACACGATGTAATGATATTCTGTATTGGCAAAAAAGAACTGGAAAAACTCAAAAATATTGACCAAATAAAGCGAGATTTGAGGCAGTGTTATCCGATACTAGATTATTTACTGGAGTCTCTAGACCCAAATACAGTATCAAACACACTGCCCACACTAACATTGGATCTTATTCAAAGTATGTTATGTCCACAAGCTCAGCAATTACAGGTAAATAACTATTTATTTTTCATCAATAAAACACCCAATTTTATAATTTTTTTGTGGGAAGAAGGCTATAAAATTCAAACCTAAATTAATTGCTTCTATACCATGCTACAGATCTGTTTAAGTTATTACCAAATTTTAAAATACAGAAATAATGACAAGGTAAGCCAATATTTAATTCCTTCTTTTAATTTATTACAGCAAGCTTTAGATCAGTATGCGGAGAGTGTGACAGGCCGTTGGGCTTGTTTGAGCATTCATGGCCAGTTGGTGGCAACCAGTTCCGACTTCCAGGAACTAGATGCAAGGGAGGCTCGGCTGATGCTCCTGTTGGCAGCAGCACAGGATGGGGCTCCGTTGAGAGACACTCCAGTCTATTTGCCGCAAATGAGTCCAAATGTAAGTAAATGGTATGCACAAATGAAAATGGAACTGGAAATTGTAACAAATAAATCTAAATAACTTTAGCACCAAGTAATTTTTGTATCTAGAGTAATCATTTTTTTATTGCAAGGTGAAGTTGAGGATACTAATCCCAGCCAGAGAGTATCCCTTAGTATACTATGCTATAAAGTTTATCATTCCATCAGTAACTGATAATTTCTGAATAATTTGCTACGTTATAACAACTGATGATCAGTTGTTATAACGTAGCAAATTATTAAAGTATGTTATTAATTTTTATTTTTAGGTAGCATTCAGAGCAGTGACCTGCAAATTATTAGCCGATGTTTACATACTAGTTGTATGTGGCGCCACTCCACCTCTGTCTGAAATCGATGAAATAGTCCTCCAGTGCTGGGAAGGATACGCACAAATTATAAAGGAAGCAAAGTTGGTTCATCCTAGAAATTTCCCCATGAGTATGTCATTTGAACCAAGTATTTTAGGGTAAGCTATAAAGCAGTGACTTTCAATTCAACATTGATTTCTGTGCGTCCAAAATCATTTTTGACAACCTGATGAATATTATATTATTTTACAGCATTCTAGCTATAAACATACCTAAAAGAAGGTGTGTATTTTCTCGTCATCTAAATGTTTCAAGTCAAAAAAGTCGCGGCATGTCTGGTGCCCACCGAACCGACATTCTTCGGACTTTTTATGTCACAACTGCAAGAGATTTGGCACCAGAATTAAAGTTGAAAGAAAATGATAAAGGTAAAATAAACTTATATGAGAATGTGTTTAATCAAAGTCCAATTTTGACTGTTCTTTTCCCATACTCTTGTATCCAATAAATATTAAAAATATTCTGACCAAGTCACTACTAGATTCTGAGTTTAACCAATCAAGTTCAATAACTTTTTTCATATAATAAACTCAACAAACTCAATTTCTTCCAGATGAGAGCAGCTTTAGCATGACAGAAACATACTGGAGTTCAGAATACCACAAGTGTCACGCGCAGAGGTCTGGCGCCTTGTTATGTTGCGTACTCTACTCATCCACTGTCCCTACTCACACCATGAGGTAACATACAGGGTGGAAACGATAAGTGATCTCACTAGATTATTTCTAAACTGTACAAGATATCGAAAAACGGTTACTGATCCTGAAAGTGCTCCACGAGTTCTATCAAATGGTACCAATGATATGTTACAGAATAAATTGGATCTATCCGAAATGTTTCCCGCTTCCATACCTTTAGAAAAGCCTCAAAATATTAAAAACTATACAAGATTTAATAAAACTGTTTACTGATCCTAAAAGTGCTTCACGAGCTCTATTAAACGATATCATTATTAGGTTACAGAATTAAGTGGATCTATCAAAAAATTCAATGTCTCCTTCTTTCATACATTTAGTACTACCACAGTCATGGCACTAATCTCTTGATAATATTATAGCAAGTAAAGCCTAAAATTAATGTTTTCCATAAATAATTTTAAGTAAGAATGCAATTTACGGTGTATTTTAAGAGTTTATTATTTAATTTTAAAAAATACACTTCTAATATTGTGTGGCTGGCATACATTTAGTATGGAACTTATGGAAGCTGCAAACATTGAATTTTCAGATAATATCCCGTTTATTCTGTAACCTATTATTGGTAGTTTTTCGATATCTTGTATAGTTTAGAAATAATCGAGTGAGATCACTTATCGTTTCCACCCTGTATATTAATTTACTTTCAGGTTCAGCCAAACCAACGCGTGCAGCCTGCGCGCACGTTGGCGGTGGCGATCAGTAGAAATCAGTAGTAGCGCCATCGCGCACGCAGCCTGCACGTGTTGGTTTGGCCGAACCTTTAGCCCGGGTTCAATTAATGACGGCTCTATAAATTTTGCATAGGACTGTATAGTTAGTTATTTATTTATAATATTGTTCAATAAACTCGTCTCTTATATTTCAGACTGATTACAACCCAGATATTACAAGACTTGAGCACTAACAAGGAAGTTTACTGGTAAATTGTTCCTAAAGTGATTTTTTAATTAATGTAAATATAGATATAAGCCTTGACTCCGTCCATATTGTTATAAATAAAACATCAAATTATATATTCGCTTTTATTTAATACCAAAACATTCAAACGTCATTCTGCTAGCAGGTGATTACTTGATTAATTTGTAAGTCACTAAAAAGGCAATTTAGTAATATCACCAAATCGGTACACACTGGCTATCATATCAGGCATCAATCCGTTCTATCTAATGTATAAATATAATGATGTGTATGTATATGACAAAAATAAAATTTCGCGAATGCGAAACCTAAGGTACGATTCAGACCGGGCAAAGTGCATTGAAAAATAAGTTGGAATAAGCGCGTCTTTAAGAACAATATTGGCTCCGTGCACGATTACAGCGCCAACTAGCGTCCACAACTTTGTGGGTTCTGTCACATTGACATTTAGGTCGTATAATATTGTGAAAAAATATCGAAATGAAAAAATAACAAATATTTTCAACTAATAAATTGTTGTGATACCACGATTTGGGTGGAAAAAAGGTTTTGAAATCATTTTGGTCATTCAAATCAAATGAGATAAGTCCAAAAAGTGTGTTTAATTTTGATTGTGTCAGGGTTTGTTTACTTCATTTATAGTTGTAGTTTTACAGTAAAACAAAAAGAAAAAGCTACTTTAACGGTTTCATTATATAACAGTAAATATATTTAAATGTTTCTGTATCGCTAGTAATAAATTAAATATCGTTTTCAGATCGAAATGAGTATCGTTTTGAAGACCGGGTTTGTGAGAGTTACAATATCAAATTCCAACCACAAACCGTATTTAAAGGAAAGTTGTTGGTATTGGCTGGACAAGTCCGAGATGTAGAAGAATTAAGAACAAAACAAGGGCAGAGTTCAATAATTCACGCTCTCATCATAAGGCAAACATCTGTGCACAACAACTACTGTGACTCATTTTTGTACTACCACGTTGTATAGTTTAGTTATTTCCAAATTGTAAACGGCTATTAAAACAGCCCTATCGAAATACAGTCCACTCTTTTATTTAAGTTCCCAGTAGGACCCTTTTCATGCGATTAATTAATGATATTAAAATGTATTATGTAGAATCGCTTTGCCATTGACAGATACATCTGATGACAGAGCTTACATTATTTCTACTTTTGACCACCATGAGCGCTGCGATAGATTATGTCCCCCCCACCTAGTACTTCGCACCCAGCGAATAAGCGCGCGCGACTGTTAGCCAACGTATCCCGACGGTAGCCGAGCGAAGTCGATCCCCTTCGTAGATTTATAAATTAATTGTAACTATAAACTAACTGGGTACCTACTGAAAAGAACTATTTTCTTTACGGTTCTTACGCTTCGCACGCTCGCCAGATCTGAATCTGTATCGTACTTGACATGATAATTTATGCTATGATTGGAGGTACTTATTTGGTGTATTTAGTTATGGTATTTGCTGCTTATAAAAATATATAGTACAAAGTAATAAAAACACCAAACTCACGAAAATACGAAACTAATCGAAGACTTAATCCATTTGAGATACATAATTGTGATAAAATACGAAAAGCGTTGCCGTTTAAAACTTTACAGTAATTTAATACTGATTGAAAACTACGAAAAATGAGTAGACATAAAAAACTAAGAATAAGAAAAGTGTACCTTGAGTTCTCTATTTTGCATCAAAATACTTATTATGTAAAAATAGTTTCTATTGATTGTGATTACAGTTCTGATATTTGGAAGGTAGGAATCAATAGACTCCACAATTTCTTCAAATGTTTGTCGGGAAGATCTAGTATAAAAATTACTGATTTTCTTGCAAGTTGCAAGTCGAATCACCATGCTAAATCTTGCTACTTTCGATTAGCTATGGACAAAACATGATTAACATAATTATTGCTTCCACAGGGTAAGTATTGTGTTCCCTCACGGATAGCAATGTACGATTCAATTTTAAGGGATTACTAATGTTTGGCCAAAAAACTTTTCCCAAATTATCACATCGCAAACAACGTTTCACAAATTTTCATTTGGCAAATTCTCATTTGGCAAAGCAACTTATTGCAAACTTTTCATTCGCAAATGTTGTTTTTGGCATATTATTGTTTAGCAAATTATTGTTTGGCAAAGTATGGTTTGCCAAATGTTTCATTAGGCAAAAATATTTCACGATAAACTATTTACAAAATAATTTGATTGGTGCATAGAATGGATACAAATTAGCTTGTGGTTATTATTTTGTTTAGTGGGTAGTAAATATAAAATTTGTTCTACATTAATTTCCTTATTTCATTCTTTTTATCTAAATTTCCAAACGATTCATTAACAATAGAGGTGATTCTAGCGCTCGGCGGCCGCTGCCGCGGCACGCTTTGCTCGCCTTCGCGCATTAAGGGTCACTGTTCTAACCTAACCTAACCTACTTTTTTCTGTAATACCTACTTTTTGCAACCATACTATTTCCTGCAATGTTTTTACATAAAATTCTTGTGAAAACCATGATCATGTGTCAATTTGACCAAACAAATTATTTGGGATATAATATTTGGCAACATAAAACATTTGCTATATAAACATTTGCCAAGTAAAATTTGGCCAAATGATAATTTGACCAAATGAATTAGTTGCGAAAAGCACAGTTGCTAAAAGTTCATTTGGGAAATGAAACGTTGGCGATAAGTTGTTTGCGAAGTGAAATTTGGCGAAAAGTAATTTGGCCAAACGGAAGGATACCAATTTTAAGTGTAATGCTTTGATATAAAGCTTATAATCGAATCGTACATTACACACACATGCATTCAGTGAGAGAGCACCTTTACAGAATAAATATTATAAAGCTAAAATCACGTCCTTTAGGTCACCCACACATGAGACCGTTATTAACATATTGTACTGATGAGTTAAGGTTATGACTAAAAAAAAGAGATACCAATAAGTAGGCGGGGTAAGAGAATGACACCATGCGATATCTTCAAGCTATTTCAGAGCACATCCACAAGTACAAGGATTAAAGATCTGAATTTTAAAGGCCACCGTTTTAAAAAATCAATTCCTAAAAGAATCGCGTTGGATACCATACCATGCTGTGATGTAGCATTAATTAGTTACTACTTAAAGCTACTTAACATTCTACATTGAGGTTGTTTGATTTTGCATTTCAGTTGTTGTATGAGGTCGAATATTTTTAGTGAGGGGCCGACTTTCATTTCTAGTAGTTCTATGATTTCGTCTTTCGACAGTTGGAGCATCATGGGGCCAGTGATGTGGCTGAAGTTGACGCAATAAGGTTGACAGTCGTTGACAGTGAGGAACTTAGCGACGTCTGCGGTGGTCCAGTTTTCTGGTTCGACGGTATTGAGCACGTCTAGAGGGACCGAGGTGTTGACTAGCCTGGGTATCACTTTGTCGTCCGCTTCGACCGGGATCGGCGCTGCTTCGGGTGAAGGCTGAAGCGCCGCTTGGCTGGATTCTTGCGAATAATCCGTAGGTGTGCTCTGGAAAAAATTGCATGCTTATCTACCAATATGAAACGTTAAATTCTGAACTGCTGATCGTAGTAGTGTACCATAAAAAGAAGTACATTGAAAATAAGATCGCGTTATAGATCATTTCATCCACGCAGACGCGCCCTACCACTTTTTGGGTGAGGGAAGCGCGGGGTGTGAGGAGTTTGATGCGTCCGAGCGTCATTATTGTAGTATGGATACTGACATGTCTATCTATGGTTGACGTCTGCACACACATTGTTACACATTGTTTAGAAACACTTTGTTTAATAATAAAAAATGATGGATTAGCAGAATGCTGTATCCTACTAATGAGGCCTACTTCCTACTAATATTATAAATGCAAAATATTGGATGTCTGGATGTTTGTTACTCTTTCACGCAAAAACTACTGAACGGATTTTGATGAAACTTTACAGTATTATTGTTTATAACCCAGAATAACATATAGCCTTTAATTTATGACGATCTGTGACAAACTAAATTTCACGCCGGTGAATCCGCGGGCAAAAGCTAATTATTTAATAATTGGCGACGTTGGACATGGAAATATGAAACGATCAAATAATAAACTTACCGTCGAATCTCGGTTAATAATATCCGAGAGTCTTTCTTCAATCGGCTCCAGTCCATTCTTCGAATCGTTGTCCACATCCATTTTGCTGGATTCCGTATCAGCCCGCGGTTCCGTATCCGCGGATATCTCGGATACACTAGTGGGGGGAGACAGGCTCTTTGTATCACCCATGTCTGAGTTCTGGGAGCTTTCTTCGGTCGTGTTCGGTGGTTGTACCACTGGTTTCGGAGCTGTAAAGAAAGGTAGGGTCCAAAAGATAAGGAGACATGTAAAGTGCCCCATAAGGGCTACCTTTTCTTTTTTTATTTTCTATAATAATATTTTGACGTTCATAAGTGCCACTTGTGGTCTAAACTGAATAAATACTTTTGATTTTGATTTTAATATTGATTTTGAAAATATGAATCATTATACTGTACAGGGTTAACCCTTAACCAGCTCAATAAAAGGCATTGGTTTTCAACCGTATCATCACAGCATAAAGTTCAATTGATGTGGGCGCTATTTGACAGGAGCTTGAATAAAGGTTAATTTCAGACATGGATAAATTACTGTCAACTATTTTGACCTCTATGCAGAGAAACGCGAAATAAATATGATTTATATAAAGCCTATTAAAGATCCAAGGTTGTTGCTTCTAATAGCGAATTATTTATCCGCGTATGTCAAAAAAGCATCAGTATAAATTACAATGTCTCAGTATAAATAGAATCTGTGCGAGGGCGACAACAATATAATTACGCGTGAGCGTTAAGGATGGGTAGATTGGGGTCTTGGACGAAATTTTACGCGACCGGACTTTAGATCAATAAAGGCTTCCACAGACCAAACGCAGGACAGTAGCAGCGCAGTTTGAATGCGGGCCCGCGCAAGTTGTAATACAAGAAACTCTTTGAAGTATGTCACACCAAATTTGAACGCTGGCCCGCGCTGCTACTGCCGAAATACAAACCAGGCGGCGCGGGAGCAGGACAGAAGCGGCGCGAACGCGGGCCCGCGCTGTTGTATTACTATGGCGGCCATATTAGCATGACACACCGGAGGCAGGGCGGTAAAGCCTGGTCCGTGAGCACGTAAAATTTTGTCCAATGACCCCTAGCTACCCATCCTTATCGCTCGCGCGTAATTATATTACTGTCGCGACTGTGCGACTGGCACCCGCAGTGAGTGTGCGAGCGCGATAGCAACATAATTACGCTCGAGCGATAAGGATGGGTAGCTTGGGGTCATTGTACAAAATTCTACGTGCTCACGGACCAGACTATAGCAGCGCGTTGAAAGCGGTTTTCGATGGGCACGGAATATACGCCTCACTGACCTGGCTGGCGGCGCTTCCTGCGCGGCTGCTTGGGAGGCATCTTGCGAACGCAGCGCGGCGCTGGCTGCAAGGGACCCTCCAAGCGGTGGCCCACGGCGCGACACCAGCCAACCGGGTACATATCTGTGCTGTGCGCCCACAGCCACTGGTCGTATTCTGTGCCCCAGCCGTCGAAGTGGACCTGGTGATTAGATTAACTTGGATTAGATTAACTAAGCAAACGTTGTCGTCTAGCCAGGTCGACGCGGCACACCAACTCGCCGTAAAGTAAATAATGCGACGGCAGCATTACGATGATCCGACGTTACGCTGCGCAAGCGCCGGCAAGATGGCGCTCGAAAGACACTAATGTGGTGTCTCTCAGCGCTAGGTACTGCTCCAAGCTGTATTAAGTCCTACCTTCAGAAGATCAGCGACAACTCTAGCGATGGTGGCCACGCAGACCAGTCTCGGATCCATAAGGTCGGCGCACTCTAGCCGCATGCCGGCCACGAACCCGTGCGACACCACGTGACCGCGCGCCGCGAACAGCGTCCGACTGGCCGCCCTACTGCAGGACTACTCCGAAACGCAGTTCTCATAGTTTGGGGCCTATCTGTCACCGTCGCTCATGCTGGCATCTTGCTTTGCGTGAGGGGGATGGCAACATTCGAAACCTTGGATAACTTTTTCGGGATAACCCCGCTGCGTCTGACTGCCGATCAGGCCTCCCCCACACTAGTCTTTCGAACGTCGTCATCTAGCCAGCGTCGACGCGGCACACCAACTCGCCTTAAAGTAAATAATGCGACGGCAGCATTACGATGATCCGACGTAACGCTGCGCAAGCGCCGGCAAGATGGCGCTCTAAAGACACTAATGTGGTGTCTCTCAGCGCTAGGTACTGCTCCAAGCTGTATCAAGTCCTACAGACGCGAACAGCGTCCGACTAGCCTTACTGCCTGACAGGTCTCCCCCACAATAGCGTCTTTCGAACGACGTCTTGTCAGCGCCTGCGCAGCGTCGACGCAGCGCACCAACTCTCCTTAAGCCACGTTCAGAGGGCTTAGTGTTTACATAAAACGTCGTAAAAAAAAGTAAAGTTTACATAAAAAGATTTTAGTTCCTTCCGCTAGGGGCGCTCTACAATCCGTCGTACATTTAATGTCACTTTTTGACGCAGTTGTCATCGAATGCGTTTGACGTAAACTCACACTACGCCTCCAGATGACGAGCGCTAAATGCGCGTATTCTGTATCAAATCCTACCTTCAGAAGATCAGCGACAACTCTAGCTATAGTAGCCACGCAGACTAATCGCGGATCCATCAAGTCGGCGCACTCGAGCCGCATGCCGGCCACGAAACCGTGCGACACCACGTGACCGCGCGCCGCGGACAACGTCCGACTGGCCGCCCTACTGCAGGACTACTCCGAAACGCTGTTCTCATAGTTCGGGGCCTATCTGTCACCGTCGCTCATGCTGGCATCTTGCTTTGCGTGAGGGGGATGGCAACATTCGAAACCTTGGATAACTTTTTCGGAATAACCCGCTGCGTCTGACTGCCGATCAGGCTCCCCCACACTAGTCTTTCGAACGTCGTCATCTAGCCAGTCGACTAGATGACAGTCGACGCGGCACACCAACTCGCCTTAAAGTAAATAATGCGACGGCAGCATTACGATGATCCGACGTAACGCTGCGCAAGCGCCGGCAAGATGGCGCTCGAAAGACACTAATGTGGTGTCTCTCAGCGCTACCCAAGTAACACAAAACACAATTATAAGAAGCGTACAACAGCATGAACCTACGTGCAGAGCAGTATATGAGCAGCATATGTAGCACTATATCAGCCGTATAAAAGTCTATAAGTGTCTTGTAAGCGCAATTTGGGCCCCAAATAATACGGCTTTGAGCATTATTAAATATTATTAGTGCTGCTAACCAGCGCTTATAATGTTATTGAAGACAGACATTAGTAAAGTTGTTAGATAGCATATTCTAATGTAAAAAGCATTTTATTAGATGTTAGTACAGCTTTGAAACAGCTTTCAGAATTACAATGCCAAAGTTACGTTTTATTCTAAGGCTGAACGTTTTATTTTGTTTGTTTGAAAGTATTCGAAAAAACTTATCGCATTTTATTGTCCGATTTGATTATTTTTCGTTTAGAGTATTGCAGTGCAATGGTGTTGTGAGGAGATGTTTTAATGTCTTTATTTAAAATAATTTATCATAAGGTAAGTATCATATTTTTTGGTTTCAAGAATGAAAATGAGCTGGGAGTATTAGTCTTATGTGAAAATATATATATGTTTGTGGTTTATAATTCACGCGCCCTCACAGAAATCCTTTTTTTAATAAAATAGGGACAAATTTAGAATCGACATATGACACTTTTTGTGATTTTTTTAACGATTTGATTAATTTTAACTTATAAAATTGCTTCTATCGATACTCCGCTTGTAAGAAAAGGATAATAAGTAGTATTTCATGCATATGTGTATTATAATTTTATTTTCTATGTTAGAGAAAACAGAAAGCAAATGGCGTCAGATAATATTAATGTTTTAAACTTTCAACTAGTGTCTTTTAATGTTGTCAGTCTTATTATAGTAAAAAGAAAATGGTTAAGTCATTCAACCTACATATAAAATATCTAAGTGATATCTTTAGCATTACTGTAACACTTTTTAGGTATGTTATAATGTTCATTAGGTTTAAACGTCATAAAAATGGATTGCTTTAGTGTTAATCAGGGTACCGAAACAATAATTTAGAATCCTTTAATCACGTCATGATCCCCTACTCCACGTCTTTCAATTTTATCTGTCTCCAATTAGGTAGGTACCTAGTTTGACAAGTGTTAAGTATAAAATCATTATCACTACAAATGTAATTTGTAATGAAACACGATATAGCTACCTATCTTATTTTTCGCTCATTGTAATAGTAATAATTTAAAGGAACTTTTTGTAACTAGTTAGTAGTGTTGCTGTAGTCGTTTTTTTAAGGGTATGCGTTATACGGGTAATTATTTAGTTTTCAGGTAACTACTTCTCTATTAAGTCATAAATAAGCTTATTTGTTTTTTTTTCAGATGCCTTTTAAAATAGTGCAAACGACCGAAAGGGATGAAGGAATGTTCTACGGAACTTCTTGACTCACACAACAACCGATTGTACTGTATTTTGTGTATGAGGTGTATCATTTTTTGGAACACGTTTTGCATTTCTTAAACCAAATATAAAGTTTGAATATTCCGTCTTTATCTTTCTCTTTACTCCACCTGTTCTCTTAGGCTGAGTTGCACCACCTAACTTTGACCGTAACTATGACGATAACCGATGTTTTTTGTATGGGGTTTGACAGATTTTTGACGTTTGTTAAAGTAAGTTGGTGCAACCCGGCCTTAAGTCTTTTTCCACTGTTTATTCATGTCAATAACGTGACACGTTCGACATAAATTTTCTAATGAATATACAGGACCTACTAACGCACAAATGAATATAATCATACGGCTCGTGGTTTTATGGCCAAATTATGACCTAAAGTAATAAAATATTTTTTTTATTTATCTAAATAGTGCTAAAAGCTTTAAAGTAACAATAAAATAAGAAGATAACAGAGCTAAAACTTTAGTAAATGTTTGGCTAATGCTGAGCAGTAAATAAGCATAAGAAAAGATCATAAAAATGCGTTCAATCTGTAAAATGTGTTAATATATCTGAATGCACTATAGAATATTTCGACAACGTTTATTTAATGCATTAGGTTTTCTTATTTACTAATATACGGTTTTAGCCTTTGTGTTAGTGTAAATGCTGTTAAAGGTGCTGTATATTAAAAGTAATTAATGTTTTAGTATGATTATAAGCCAATTAACTTAATTTTTTTAGACCATATAATAGCTTCATGCATTGTAAATTTTACCGCATTCTACTCAAAAGCATTTAAACTAAGTCAAAACTGATTTAAAGTGATAGTCTGACTTTAAAACGTAAATCAATCTTAATTTCAGTGAATATACAGATTGCGTGTTACTTGGGTAGGTACTGCTCCAAGCCGTATCAAGTCCTACCTTCAGAAGATCAGCGACAACTCTAGCTATAGTAGCCACGCAGACTAATCGCGGGTCCATCAAGTCGGCGCACTCGAGCCGCATGCCGGCCACGAACCCGTGCGACACCACGTGACCGCGCGCCGCGAACAACGTCCGACTAGCCTTACTGTCTGACAGGTCTCCCCTACAATAGCGTCTTTCGAACGACGTCTTGTCAGCGCCTGCGCAGCGTCGAAGCAGCGCACCAACTCTCCTTAAGCAACGTTCAGAGGGCTTAGTGTGAGTTTACATAAAACGTCGTAAAAAAAGTAAAGTACATAAAAAGATTTTAGTTCCTTCCGCTAGGGGCGCTCTACAATCCGTCGTATATTTAATGTCACTTTTTGACGCAGTTGTCATCGAATGCGTTTGACGTAAACTCTACGCCTCCAGATGACGAGCGCTAAACGCGCGTTTACAACTACATGTCGAAACGCGCGTTAGCATGTGTACTACGAGAATAAATTACATAGTTGTAAACGCGCGTTTAGCGCTCATCATCTGAACGTGGCCTTAAACTAAATGACGCTACGCCAGAGCCGCGTCGGCGCTGCGCGGGCGCTGGCAAGACGATGACGCTCGACAGACGTTAGTGTGAGGTGTCTCTCACCGCTAGGTACTGCCAGATAATTTCGTCAGCTGTATTAAATCCTACCTTCAGAAGATCAGCGACAACTCTAGCTATAGTAGCCACGCAGACCAGTCTCGGATCCATCGGTCGGCGCACTCGAGCCGCATGCCGGCCACGAACCCGTGCGACACCACGTGACCGCGCGCCGCGAACAACGTCCGACTGGCCGCCCTATTGCAGGACTACTCCGAAACGCTGTTCTCATAGTTTGGGGCCTATCTGTCACCGTCGCTCATGCTGGCATCTTGCTTTGCGTGGGGGGGATGGCAACATTCGAAACCTTGGATAACTTTTTCGGAATAACCCGCTGCGTCCGACTGCCGATCAGGCCTCCCCCACACTAGTCTTTCGAACGTCGTCATCTAGCCAGCGTCGACGCGGCACACCAACTCGCCTTAAAGTAAATAATGCAACGGAGACATTACGAAGATCCTACGTTACGCTGCGCAAGCGCCGGCAAGACGGCGCTCGAAAGACACTAATGTGGTGTCTCTCAGCGCTAGGTACTGCTCCAAGCTGTATCAAGTCCTACCTTCAGAAGATCAGCGACAACTCTAGCTATAGTAGCCACGCAGACTAATCGCGGATCCATCAGGTCGGCGCACTCGAGCCGCATGCCGGCCACGAAACCGTGCGACACCACGTGACCGCGCGCCGCGAACAGCGTCCGACTGGCCGCCCTACTGCCTGTCAGGGCTAGGTACTGTTCCCAGCCGAACTCGTCGGCGGTATACCTGTGGACGGAAAGTAAATGCAAAATTATAAAGATTACTGCCAATAACTTCTTTAACACGCGACATGAAAAAATAAACTACTGAGTCTTACAATGTAAAAAAATCAAGAACAAATCACCATTATACCAACGTTCAAGTTTTCTTGCATTTCTTTTAAAATTTATTCATTTTACATTGACTTTTCTTCAGTTAGGCGGTTATCACACTGCGCCCGCACCGCGCTCCGCCGCGGAGCGCGTGATTTCATATAAAAAATCCCGCGCGCAGACGCGTTGTCAATGTGAAGTGCCGCGCGTGTTTTCTATACAAACTGAGGTACTTGCATACAATGATTAAATCTGTCGTCCCACGTACCGCGGCGGAGCGCGGCGCAGTGTGATAACCGCCTTAGTCTTTTGTTTGGGCCTTTCTTTATGCACTTCAATTCGATCAGATTACATGTCGAGTGCTTACGGCACCCGACCCGACCTATAAGCGAACAAAACGAAAAGGTATCCTGATTGGAAGCGATCAGTGCGCCACAGTGGCTTACTTTTGCGACCGTTTATGGTCCAGTCAGTAGCAATTTGACTTACTTACTATACAAAAACTTACCCATTAGGAGGCACTAGTGGAATGTTATTCGCCAACGCGAAGCCGACAGGAAATATGCACGGAGATCTCTGGTGGTAACAAAACCAGTCTGCTCCAGATACGTCAGCCGGGTAGCAGTCTATTCGAATCATCATGTAGCCTTCATTCAATATCTGCATCACAGTAGCAGCACACACTGCTGACAAATTCAATGGGTCTATCGCTTCCAATTTCATTCCTTCAGAAAACAGAGGTGGCTCATTCGTTGGATACTTGTAGAACATCTCTGGTGTTGTGTCATTAGATATAAATCTTCCCGCAGCCACCCTTTGGCAATAACTTTGTGGGGCGTCAAGAGGATGGCCAACACGGAAAGCCCAGCCAACTGGGTGTATCAATGGTGAGTCTTCATGACACCAAAAACCATTGTCTTCTGGAGAACTATCATAGTATTTAACGTGCAATCTTTTACCAACTATCTCACATACACTTGCTACCTGTAAAATAAATAAAACAATTACTGTTTTATTTTATTACAAAAATTATAGAAAAATATATTCCATATTAGTAAGTAATTACATACCTTAACTTGAGAGATTCTATTTTTATCAACTACCTCCATAATAGACCCAATAGAAAACCTTGATACTAGGCTATCATTTAATTTTGTGTAAAAATTTGCAGGTAATGTCCTAGCACCTGTTAGCTGCTTTACTAAAAACCTAAAAGAGAAAAACAATGAAGATGTAGTAATAAAATGGGTTCAACAAGGTACTTTGAATCAATTTCCAATATTTTTACAAAACAACAAATATTTCTAGTTCTCAGAACACCAAGGACTATCTCATAAACAATATCTGAAATCAGAACTGTATTTAATTATGACTAGCTTTCCGCCCGTGGCTTCGCCCGCGTGGAATTTTGTCTGGCACAGAAAAACAATATCGTGCGCGTATTTGCTCACCGTTTAGTCCTACCCTGGACTATGACAAACATTTTAAAACCAAAATCAGCTCAATCGGCCCAGCCGTTCTCGAGTTTTTATCAGACTAACGAACATCAATTCATTTTTATTTAGGTATACAGTGTGTCCGGGCATGTAGTGATCAAACTTTAAGGGCGTAATCTATGGACAATTTTATCGATGAAAATACTTCAAATTTGGGGCCTGACCCATTTCTCGAAAAATTACATCGATTTAAGTTTTTAATTTTTAGTTTACACCTCTTCTTTAAAAAACAAGTGAAAGCGTGGGTAGCTTAACATTAATAGGCAAATATTTTATATCATGCGATAGCCAATAAAATTATCTATTAGTAGAAGAAGAAAGCAGACACAAGTTTCATACATTTTATGGGAGTAAGAATGGATTTAATTAGAAAAATACATTACTTTTTTCACTTCTTTTTCAGTTATTTTCCAACACAAGAAAAACCAGGTCGTTAAGGTATGTTTTATTTGCATTGTATTTTCAGTCAGATTACGCAGCAAGTAAACTAATTTAATTTTCGCTATTCAATCACACACTCACGATGGCAACCGAAATCGCCCGAATTGATCTGCCCCCTAGACAAGTGGCAAAATCTGACATTCTACTCGGACTGATTCGATTTTCGAAAAGTGTGACTAGTCTAGTCTACTAATAGACCCACTGATCGCGTTCGAAGCACCTGTGCGGCGCTAAACTCGTCACGACATGCAACGAGACAATGGGCCAACTATCCGGCCGCCGGATATCCGGTTATCCGGCCTAGCAGCTGGCCGGATATCCGGTATCCGGTATCCGGCCAAACAACTATCCGTTTCATCTCTAATTCTTACTCCCATAAAATGTATGAAACTTGTGTCTGCTTTCTTCTTCTACTAATAGATAATTTTATTGGCTATCGCATGATATAAAATATTTGCCTATTAATGTTAAGCTACCCACGCTTTTACTTGTTTTTTAAAGAAGAGGTGTAAACTAAAAATTAAAAACTTAAATCGATGTAATTTTTCGAGAAATGGGTCAGGCCCCAAATTTGAAGTATTTTCATCGATAAAATTGTCCATAGATTACGCCCTTAAAGTTTGATCACTACATGCCCGGACACACTAGATGACAAAAGGCATATTTTATTCCTACATCTAAACTAAAATACATACTTTTTCCAATCCGTATATTTATCTTCTATAGTGCAAGGCGGAATGAGTGGCTTGCCGCGAGTTGCACACCACCCGACAGGATGAACCTCGGAGCAGCATAAGTTAACCCAGAAGTCCTTCGAGTCATCACTTCCAAAACCTTCATACCGCAACAGGCCCATGTAGCCTTTTACCTGAAAAAATATGAGTTAATTACCAGGAATATTTAAAAAAATAGTAAAGCCAGTTCAGTTTAATACAGTAAAAGCCCTTAGATTTCCAATGCTTTCTTAGAAGAAGATACTTGATAAAGTTATTGAAACAAAAACAAAATATAGAAAACATTTTTTTTAAAGCATTGCTAGGTAAGGTTTGAAGTTACCAAAAATTATTTGTAGATTGTAGTAAATATATGTATTGCTAGTAAAATTTTAAGTTAATATTAAATAACAGCAGCCCAAAATCAACATAAGGACTTGACTAAAGATAAATGAACATTGATAATATACAAAACTTACTTTCAATACTGTGGCTACCCAAAAATAGTCACTGAGTTTCTCAGTATTATTTCCACAGTCTGTGTTTTTCACCTCAACCTTCATGCCCTCGAAGGTGTTGTCCCACATCTCATGCAGTGGGGCATGTTTGAACAGGCTGACCGGAGCTGCCAAGAAGTCACAGCCAAACAACTCATCCTTCCATTCATAGCTATTGGCCACTAAAGCTGCTGACTGCTTGATAGGGCCAGCCTAAAAAATATGGTCTTTGCATTAATTATCAATTATTTATTTATCGAAAAACTTAACAGCTTTAGCACTACAACATTACAATACATTAAGATAAGAATTTAAAATAAATATGATAATAGGTAGGTTAGTTCATTGTCATGCCTTACGAAAGTTGCATGGTGTTTATGTGTGTAAACAAAAAAAGTACATGCAACAGCATACCAAGGTAAAAAACTGGGACATCTTTGATCTTACACAGTTGTAAATGTTGTAATAGTGGTATTTTGCAATAAAAAAATATTGACAGAAAACTGTGGACTGCACAACAATTGAGTGTTTTGAACACAAGTTTTGGTAGTGAATATTTTGTACCTGTAAGTCATTCAAAGCAGCTTGCCATTGGTGCAGCTGAGGCAATGGTTCGAGGGGTATCAGACCAGCCATATGTTCAGCTCCTTCCATAATCTTGAATCGCCAATTACAGTGCCGACGTCTAGTTGCACTAACATAACATCGCAGATTGCAAAATCTATTATTTCGAGTATAAAAATGATCACGACGCCCAACGCGACCACATAATTCACATATTGCTGAAATATAGTAATTAGTTCTTAAGATAAATCAATTATAATGCAACTATATTCAGTAAAATGTCCTGCAACTATCTCGGATGCTTTCACAAAACAAACCAACATGCCGACACATCCGTCATCGATACTCACCAAAACTATTCTTTTCCAATGGAACTATGGTCAAATCATCTACGATAGAAGTTTCATCGGTCAAATCTGTAGTATTATTATAGTTCAAATCATTTTCGACGGTGTAACAAGCCATATTTGGGCTAAAGGCACTGAATAACTACCGAACACTGTGGTGGTAAACACTGCAATCCTCATGACTAAAGCCACAATGTATTTATTTTGAGCTATGAATCTGAGGTTCTATTATAAGAAATAAATAAAATTTCTGTACTTTTACTGGTCAATCACAATAAAATTACTATGTACAAACGAATAAACACTTGTTTTAAAATGGTTGTTTCACTGTTCACATCAAAAAATCACAAAGTAGGTAGCTAAGCAGAGAGTAAAGAGTTTGGTCAGGAAGACATCTTGTTCATAGACAATTTTTTTTAGTAAGGTGTCTTACGGCTCAGAGCCCCGATTACGGTAATTTTTAACGTCAACAATCCAGACACGCTTCTCGATTCGGCGATACGATTGGTCGTTCAACAGCGTACGTCAGCGGTTTTGACCAATCGTATCGCAGAATCAGAAACGCGTCTGGATTGTAGACGTTATAAAAGTTACTGTAATCGGGGCTCTGGGTGCAAGCTCATAGACAATATGAAAATGGAGAAGACAGATTATTAAATTATAAAACTAGACATTCCATATTCCATTAAGACGTTTAAAAAACATCAAATTGTCGATGAAAAAATATTATGTTGATTGTTGACATTGTTTTTGTTGATGGAGACTCGGCTTTCTGAGCCCCGATTACGGTAATTTTTAACGTTTCCAATCCAAACGCGCTTCCTCGATTCTGCGATTCTGCGATGCGGTGGTCAGCGTAATGATCAAAACAGCGTACGTCAGCTGTTTTGACCAATCGTATCGCAGAATCGATGAAGCGCGTCTGGATTGGAGACGTTAAAAATTACTGAAATCGGGGCTCTGAGCGCGTAAATTTAACCGAAAAGTGACCAATCGTGATATTTTAAATAATTTACTTATTTCTTCGGATCCTTTTTTGTCACAATAAGACCAAAAATGAGCATGAGTCAAAATCTCCTCTTCCTAATGAAGTTAAAAATTTACTAGCTTCAAATAATGATGAAACTTTTGAATTTATAGATGTTGATGATGATGTTGAATAATAAATGATTAAGATTGGAATGATTGTTAGCTTCTTTTTATTTTAGAAAATCAACAAATTATCATAAAGTTGCCTTATATCCATATATTTTGTTTACTTTTTCGTACTTTAGAAAATATCACTTATTATCCTAAACGGGGACGCACTGGGACAAAGTTGTTACTGTATTAGCTTCTATTAGTATGACTCTTTAAAACCTATAAGTAGTCATATCTAACAAACTAACATTTTGAATAAGAGCCTCGTACGTGAAGGAAACGTTTCGTACAAATAAAACACAAAACATGAAATATAGCAAAAACTACGCATTTCTCAGAAAAATATAACTTAAACAAAACGTTTTTTTATGACATTCTACACATGATACCATCGAAAAAAGTTAATAAATCGCTAATTCCATTTTTATCATTTCTTGAACCAGTGTGCGGCAGATTTCGCGGAAAAAAGTATGAAAATAGGTAGGTATAGCCTGACCAGGAACATAATAGATCATAGATGACCCACGCTGAACTGTCCCGCCAAACTCAATGACAGGGGGGCGCTACCATCGTTCAACTATATGGTTTCCAACATGGCAAAAATCTGAACCAGCGATCCGGTATTGACGGTGGCGCCCCACTGTCAATGTCATCGACAGGACAGTCCAGTATTTTGGAACTATAAAAACCCTGGCATAGAGGCGCGTCAATTGCATTTGATAGTGCAACACTGAGTACAGTCGTACCTGTGTTAAATTAATAGGTTAACTTTATGTATCAGGATTCTGGATTACGGGCTAATTTGATATTTTCATAAATTAACGAAAAAATATTATTATAGGTAACCTGGTTTAAATAAATTAAATGAAACCATCAATCGAGTTAGTAGGATTTATTTTATTATTCGTCAATAATCAAATTCAGAACTTGAATATTCAACTGCAATGTCTGCTCATGAACGCTTCAAACTCGGTACTTCTTTCCCAATTCCATAAAATTCAACACTTAGAAAGTGACAAAAAACTTTAAAATAGGTAGTTGAAACAAACCACAGCTAGTTTTCACAGTGGACTGTACTATACGATAAACATGTCAGTCAATTTGACAACCTTTGTCGGAAACATTATTCAATGAAAATATTGTCCGAACCCTTAGTATTTCTCTTCGACAAATACTTTAACACATTGTGAACCACTTTTCTTTCACGACTATAAAAATATTTTAGCAATTTAATTCACAAAATCAATTGCGCACATTTAAAATAAAGTTTGTTTACACTTTGACAGCATGGCAATAGACTGACATGCAAGGTGACATGTCAATGAAGTTTTCAGTTACTGTTGCCATTAAAAGAAATTAGTACCATTAGTTTTCCGCAATATGGCGAGGGTTTTTATGTTCCTGGTCAGGCTATACTACTGATCTATGAAACGTATGAAACATTTATTATACAAAATAAGGAAATAATTAAAATAAAATAAAATAAAATAACATAGATTTTTTTAAATATTAAGTCGTTTTTTTTTACTTAATAAAAATCCATCGAAACGAAATTTCAATTCTTCAGTTTTGAACAAAAATTTGAAATTGTGGCCAGATTAAAAATTAGGGTAGCTTACCGTAGCTTATCACTAACCAAATGAATTAATTAATTACGGGTATTTCCCCTTCTTGCTCTGATGATGGTTTCCATTTATCTGAGCATGCTGCAGTTAATGTTAATGTTAATGCAGACATTGCCCCAAAATACCCTTTGTATTTTGGGGCAATGTCTGCACTCCTCTAGTAACGCGTTTCTCAATACCCCCGGTGGAATTCTGAGTTTAAGACATCTTTTAAGAAAGTCCAAGACATGCTCTATAGGATTCTTGTCTGGGGATCTTGCCAGCAACTGCATCATGCATGGGTATATCCAAATGGTTTAAATAAGCCTGTACTGAGCGAGCACTGTGAAAACGAACATTATCGTGAATTAAACTAAAGGAGTCCCCAATAAATGGAGTAAATGGCACATCATGTTTTTCTAAAATGTTCCTACTGTACCATTCGGAAGTCATGTTTCCTCCATCGACCACCACTAACTCCGTACGAGCTCCCAAACATATTCCTCCCCACACCAGAATTAAGCTACAGCCATATACTTACCACGATATTTTCAAAATTAAGACTAAATGTTACGTTCTCTTTGTGTTTCCATATTCGCTATCTCCATCAATCTGGTATAAGAGAACTCTGCACTCATCAGTTAAGAGATCATGTTTCCAGGCGTTCAAGACCCAATCATGATATTCACGTGCAAAGTTCAATTTGTTTTTCGATGCTATGTCACAAGTTGGAGCTTTTTCGGATATGTACGGTACGACCCTGTACCAACTTCAGCAAATCTCCTGTGAACTGTGCGCTCAGCAGTGGCGTAACTATACCGTTCGAGGCCCGTGGCAAATTCATCGAATGGGCCCTCCCACTTTCCCAATATATAAAGAAGCTGAACCAACAACAATAGTATTTTTTATTTTATAATATTTATTTATACACTTTTATTTGTAAAATTTAACTAATTAATCACTACGTGAAGTACCTAGGTACATACAAATTTTTTTTTTACCAATGCATTGAAAGTTTAATACCTAGGTATATTTATTTTAGTTGTGTATGCAACTAAGAAGGTAACAAATAAATTAAAGACAAAACTTTTTTTTACTTAAGTAGTATGTGTAATAATAAATCCCATCAAAAACAATACTTGTCAAAAAAACCAAGTCTCGCAACTCAGTTGTTCTACGGTAAAAAGTTGTGAGATCCATGTAATACCAAGTCCAGGCCAGGAAATCTTTAACGTTTTACATAAATATATTGACTTGGCCATCGCACTAAATAATTTAATTTACACGTGTTTTCATGCGATGGCCAAGTCAATATATTTATGTAAAACGTTAAAGATTTCCTGGCCTGGACTTGGTATTACATGGATCTCACAACTTTTTACCGTAGAACAACTGAGTTGCGAGACTTGGTTTTTTTGACAAGTATTGTTTTTGATGGGATACCACAGAATAAGTAATAGTACAGGTACAGAAGGATTACTCCGCAAGACGATTTAAATAAATGCGAGTCTTGCTACGACGCGATACAGTGGAATTCAGCTCGCACAGCACTACGTACCTACAATTTTATTCACCTACAAGTTTTGTCTCTTTCTATCGCGTGCCTCTGAACTCTTCTTACGCTGCTAGGGTTGCTATGCTGTCTAGTGAAAAAATAGAATTAATCTACTTAGGTATTTGTAATGAGGTACGTATGTAGGTAAGTATTAGTGTTATTTTACCTTTGTAAAAATAACATTTTAAATATACCTACTTAGGATAAAAAAGTACTTATTTTAATACAATGTCTTCATTCATACCTATTTTAACATAAGACAAATAAATTAAACATACCTACTATCACAGAAGAAAGAATGACATCATACCTACCTACTTACTACGCAAATACGAAACGGCTACATCATAGAACGAGAGGCATCACCCGAAAATCATATTTGTATTTGGCTTTGCACAAACTTAATCTAATGTTACTCGCTGTACTTTGGCAACAATTTATTTTTTACTGAATATTGTTGGGGTACCTATGCATTATGGTAAAAGAACTAGCTTGTCGTAATTTGGTGTATCGATGTTACTCTTCCGTTTCATTTACCTACACGGAAAGGTAATAGTTAATATTTTAACGATAACATTCTTAAAACATCATAAATTGTATTCAAAAGAAATTATTTATTAAAGGCAAAACATCAAGTCCCGACGGGCGTGCGCGTGACACTCGACTGATATAATACCCGCCGGCGGGGCGCTCCGCTGTAGGTAATTATCGGATGTACCGCGCGGAGTGAGCCAGGCCTGCTCTTACTCCTCGAGTGTCTTTAAGGTCATTTCTGGCTTGAACAGCAGGTAACCGCGACTTTCTGAAAACTCGAAGTCTTTTTCTGACTCGTATTCTCCTCCTAACGATAGAAATGATCAATCTGTACCGTTTTGGTTACTGCCATGGGTCGTTGATACTATACTATAGGTAATCAACGAAGTCTTACGGCAGCCGATCTGTATGCATGACCGTTTCTTCTCATTTCATCTGCCTTAAAGATTTCTGACGGTGCTAAGCTGGGCATAATAAACTCTTGTAAGTAACTGAATGTTTACGCAACGAAATTCTCAGAAAATTTTCATATTTCGAATTAAATTAAAAAATAAGGTCATAATAAGGCATTTTTACCAAAAAATTATTATATTGATGCTTTTTTTCCGTTCCGCTAAATCTGCCGGTGTGTGTATGATCACACATTTCTGTAATCAACTAAAAATCTACCCATTTTAGCGGAAATATAATTTTTAATATTTCTACGGAACCGTCGTATCACTTGATGTACCACCGGCATATAACTGTGGTTAACTTAAATATCATGTCAGACAACTACTGTCAACTTTGACACCGCGCCGCGAAACCGAATAAAAAAAAATTTCAATCGATCACTTTTGTCTCTGATGTGTTCTTTACCTTGTGTATTTGTTGATTTTATAATTTGTCGCGAAATTACAGTGCTTGAAGAAATAATTACTCTTCTAGATTCTAGAATCATTGAAAGTGCTGTGTGAAACGATAGCCAAGATATTAGAATAATTGGATACTACGTTCCTAGAAGTTTGACTGAGGTAAGTCCGCCGTACTAAATTAAATTTCAATTTTATTAGGTAAATATTTGGAAAATCGGAAGAAAAACGGATGATGAACACCCATCATCGTATTTGTTCTGTGCCCACTTTAATTTTACACGTAGGTAGGTACGTAATATTTGTAGGTGCTCGATTTTATTGTAGTAAATATTGTGCCTTTTGCACTGGGACAGTAGATTTCATAGGGCTAAAATGCTGATGAATTGTTGTGCAATAAGATGTATGTTTGTCAATAGTTTAGAATGTATAATGATAAAACCTACCTACTGTTGACTGCATGCACAAATTAATTTGACCAAAAGTTTTCCATTAAATTGAGTTATTTGTAATTTTTTTATCAATCTCTTACTATGGATATTGTAATTCTAAGCGGTACTTTATCTATGCATTTTAGAAAGTCTACCTAGTTACTTCAAGGGTTTTAGTATGTTTAATGATTGTAATCAGTACAAAATTCATAGTTTTTACCTACTGTCTCGTGCATGATTGTTTTCTATTTTATAAAATACATTCACTATCACCCTATATTATGTCGTGCCCTGAGTGCCTGAGCAACTGCACACAGGAGGATTTAATGAATGCTGCTGACAACTCCACTCTAATGTGTCACTCGCCACTCTCAGTATGGTTTTGTAGTCTGTAGGTACACATTTTAACCACACAGTAAATAATTTAACTCCAGAGCGTAGTGTCCTGCGTTACAATAAACAATAGTATTCAATAGTTATATGTATTGTACCCTTGTATATGTTGGTGGCTGAGCCGGCCAGATTTATATTTGGTTGTAAATACACCTTTAAATAAATCAAATGTTTTATTGTTCCCACCTTCTGATGTGCGTTTTTGTGGACTCTTATTAAGAGAACATTAACATAATAATACATAGGTATATTAAACTTACATAGTTAGCAGAACCCCACATCTCTGAAAAGGTGTGCAAAAGTTATCAAAGGTTAAGAAGTTCTAGAAACTAATTGGGTCTACTAAACTTGGTAAAATTTTGACGTAGATACCGGTCATACATTGTGGTGCAAGCAAAGCGATTTGTTGCTATCGTTTATCTTGTGACCTGCAACCAAGTCATTATGTCTGTCCTCCTATTTATAGTTATAATGTGGACTCAAGGAGGTTAATTTAACACGAGTAAATGTGTACCCTCTATGTAGGTAGGTACCTACCATGTTTCACCATAATCTATTCACTGTCGTCTTTACCATCAGTTACCTGTGACTGAATGAGGCGAAACTTTTAACTAATTAATTAGAACAGTTTTGACATTGATAAGAATTCAATTTCTGGTCTTTCGAACATTTTGTCTCGTCAAGTCGGAACCGGTTTCGACTTGTCCATTCAATAATATTATGATAAGGAAAGTCTGAAACAACATGCTTATCCAAGATATTTTCTGATAGGTCCTTAGACATAGTGCTTCGAAGGGTACTTAACGCATTGTCCTCGCACAACAACCACAACAAAAACTCTTACTTATTTCTTTTCACAATTCCAACCCAAGTTAATTGATTAATTTATTTTGTTTCAGAACAGATTCAAATCAAGCTACGAAGATGGGGAGAGGTGAGAACGAAAATCTTCTAATCATTTAATTTCAGTTGCAGTTTATTTATTATTATTATAGCTTTATATTCCACATTTTTACAATTTGATTCAATTAATCTGTATCTCTTGTTTGTGGCCCCACTTGGGTAAAAGCCTCCTCCATCTTTTTCCACCTTTCCCTGTCGCTGGCTATGTGCATCCAATTTTTCCCTGCCTTGTTTGTTATGTCATCGGCCCATCTTTTCTTCGGCCGTCCTACGTTTCTTTTGCCTTTTGGGCCTTGCCATTTTGTTGTTTGATAGGTCCACCTCTTATCTTTATATCTTGCCAAATGACCTGCCCAGTTCCACTTCTGTTTTAGGCTAAATTTAAGAGCATCTGATAATTTAGTTTTCATACGGATGTCTGTGTTTCTAGTCTTTTGTATTCTTCTTAGTTTTAAGATACTTCTCTCCATTGCGTGTTGACAAGAGGAGATTTTGTTTTTTACTCTTTCCGTAAAGACCCATGTCTGGCTAGCATAAGTTAGGCTTGGGAGAATGCAGGAATCCATTATTGTCTTTTTTATATTTAAGTTATAATTCCCTTTTAAGATTTCTTTTTGTGCCCAGTATTTCTTCCATGTTATACCTATTCGTCTGTCTAGTTCGTTTTCGTTGCTGTTTGTATCGAATGACACCAATTTGCCTAGGTATACATAGTCATCTACATATTCTATAGATTTTTCCTCTATTTTTATTGTTTTCCTAGGACTGTTTGACATGATTTTAGTTTTAGAAGCGTTCATGTGTAAGCCGACTTTTATACTTTCATAGTTCACAGCAATATTTTTTCTAAGTCTGTAGCTGATTCACTTAATAGAACTATGTCATCTGCAAACCTTAGGTGTGTCAATTTATTATTATCTATCCATATGCCTCTATTTTTCCAATCAATATTCTTGAAAATGTCCTCCAGCACAGCTATAAACAGTTTAGGAGAGAGCGGATCTCCCTGCCGCACTCCTCTTCCAATTATGAACTCTTCTCCTTGTCTTTCCAGTTTTACTCTGCTTACGCTTTTGGAATAGATGTTTTTGATGATATTTATGTATGTTTTATTTATATCGTTGTTCCTTAAAGCAGTCCATATGGATGAGTGCACTATACTGTCGAATGCTTTGGAATAATCCACAAATGCCAAATAAAGTGGTTTATTAAATTCTTTAAATTTCTCCATTACTTGTTCTATTGTATGGATGTGATCAATTGTTGAGTAATGTGGTCTAAAGCCCGCTTGTTCTATTGGTTGATTGTTATCAATTTTTGATGCTATTCTGCTGAGAAGTATTGATGAAAAGAGTTTATATATTGCAGATAGTAGGCTGATAGGTCTATAGTTGCCGATGTCGAGTGGACTTCCTTTTTTATACAGTAAAATTATGTTTGACTTAGTCCATTGCGATGGTACTTGTTCTTCTTCCAGTACTAAGTTAAACATCTCAGTTAGATATGGGACTAGAATTCGCGCACCGATTTTCAGGGCTTCATTTGCAATGTTGTCTTCTCCTGGGCTCTTCTCAGGTTTTAATTTTGTAATGTGAGTCCATACTTCACTTTCCGTTATTGGGTTCGTTCACTTGCAGTTAACTGCAGTTAACTAAAGAGTTGATTTATTGCCTGAATAACTTGTTTAAAAGCTATTATGGGAAACTTATTTAAAATGCTTGTATTCCATAGGTAAGAAGGATAAAAGGGATAGAAGGAGTTCAACTCATGAAGTCGAGGCTGAGGTCGAAGCGATGTCGCTCAGTGACGCCCCGTCTACGTCACAAGCGCCACCGCCTGACCCCGAGGAAGAAGGCCTCTCCTCTGCTTCTGTTAAAAGGAAGAAGAAGAAGGAGGAAAGGAAAGCTGCTCTGATGTCTTTACAGACGTCCAAAAAACCTGAAGAAGCCAAGGTCATTGAGCCGGAGCCTGTCGCACCGGCACAGCCTGAACCAGTGAAGATGGAGGTAGAGGAGGAAGCAGGCTTGGGATTAGGACTATCTGGCGGGAAGAAAAGGCCGAAGAGGAAGCCTAAAGGTGCAGCCGCAGCTGAGCCGGCTCATCAAAGCTCTAGCACTACGTCGGCATCAATGCCACCGCCTGCCGGACCCGCCAGACAAGCTCCGGCTTCTGCGTGGCCCACTCCTTCACCTACAAGTGCTCCCGCCCAGGCCTGGGGAGGCCCGAAAGGCGACCGTCCCTCTACTGCGATCTCACAAAGCGCGTCTTCTGCGTCATCCACTTCCACCACCGCGCAAACTCCACAACCTTCTACGTCGTACACTTCGATTCCTGAATCGAAGTTACCACGACAAACCGACACCACTGTGGCGAGGCCCGAAGGGAGATATACCAAATATGAACCAGTCGCGTGCCGATTTAAAATTCCCAAGAGGATTGAGGGCAATACTGTGCCCCACAGGAAAGTTCAAATCTTGTGCAACTATTTGGCCATGACAATAAAGGGTTTGAAAATTGTAAGTATTGATAAACTACAATAATTGAGAAAGTAGTAGTAGACAATATATGAGAAACGCGGTATTTCTCAAAGAAGTAATTCTATTTACTGTACCTTATAATAATAATAATAAATACTCTTTATTGCACACCAGATAAAAAAAACAGAAAGAAAAGGAACACATAAGGTACAGTTAGGTTAGGCGGTCTTATCGCTATGAAGCGATCGAATTTTAAAATATTGATATATCGAATTTTATATTCAGCTTTGATTGTTATTTTCACTGTTTAAACATGTCTATAATATTATTTTTTGTTTACAGAGTCGTTATGACGTCTCTTTCAAACCTGATCGCCCAAAGAAGATGCTAGGAAAAGTATTTTTGGTCTCAAAGGCTCAACATTTTCCTAACAATGAAGTGGCATTTGATCAAATCAAAAATTGCTATGCACTGACTCCATTAAAAAACGTGACGGCCCAGGACCGTTATGTAACAAACGTAAGTATAATTAATGATATAATTTTGATTGTATTCATACCTAAAACAAGTAAATAAATCTAAATAAAAAAAAGATGTTGATATTCACGAGATTTCTGCGTACATATTTTCTAAACAAGTCTTATAGTTAATTTTACAATTAGATTCTTTTTATTTGTGGAATTTTACGTAAGTAAATAATATTTTTTGTTTTATGTTCAGGTGACAATGCTTGATCCTAATGGGAAAGAAATGAAATTCGAAGTGTCCTATAAGTTCACAGGAATTGTGGACCTTAACACAATCATAAAGTGAGTCTATGATAACATGCTTGTACAGGTACACTTTGTGATCGAGTAAGAAATGAGATATCCATATAAGAACGGTAATTCTGCAATGTCCAGTTACTTTACTGACATATCGGTAATCAGTTGGGGGCAAAAGCTGGTAGAACTCATGACCGTTGGAGCAATTCCATCATGTTATTGCCTTTATTTTTTATTTTATTATCTTTATTTTTGTGGTATTCATTAATATATTTTATTTCAGCTACATGGAAACCGGTGCCACGTCGCTTTCCCCTCCAACCGAAGCCATCCAGTGCGTTGACGTAATATTACGCCAAGGGACTCTGGAATCCTATGTCAAGGTGTGTATTTTTTATTTTACTAATTACCTACTACTCGTTGCAGAGATGAATACAACAATTCAGTTTTTCTTGAGTTAAATAAATTAATAAATAAATGGTGTAATTTACACGATTGTTTGGGCGTATACAGAAAAAATGGAATGAGATTTTTGTATTGTTGCTTTCAGGCTGGCCGTCAATTCTTTAAGCGGCCAGAATATCCTACGAACTTGGGCGACGGTCTTGAGATTTGGACCGGTCTCTTCCAATCTGGAATATTCACCTCCAGGCCTTTCGTCAACATAGACGGTACTGTTCAAATTCTTTACTATAGTCGCTTAACTCAGTCAGTGCCTGTGGTATGGGATCGGAAAGGGAGATTATGTCAATGTCACCCCTCCCGTGCCGCTACCATATAGATGACCCACGCTGAACTGTCCCGCCAAACTCAATGACAGGGGGGCGCTACCATCGTTCAACTATATGGTTTCCAACATGGCAAAAATCTGAACCAGCGATCCGGTATTGACGGTGGCGCCCCACTGTCAATGTCATCGACAGGACAGTCCAGTATTTTGGAACTATACCTATACTAAAGCCTGGTCCGTGAGCACGTAGAATCCCGTCCAATGACCCCAAGCTACCCATCCTTATCGCTCGCACGTAATTATGTTGCTGTCGCGCTCGCACACTCACTGCGGGCGCGCGTCGCACAGTCGCGACAGCAATATAATTACGCGCGAGCGATAAGGATGGGCAGCTTGGGGTCATTGGACGGGATTCTACGTGCTTTACCCATAGCATGTTTCTTTTCAGACAACACTTAACAGCTCATAAGACTAATTTCTATTGCAAATTCATCCGTATTACAGCTGCTTAAGGTCTTACATATAGCTAGACTTGCCTACATAGGCCGACCAAACAAATTTATACACGTTCTAAATATACCTCATCACCATATCGGGACAAAATATTGCATAGAGCTGAGAAGTGCCGAAAGAATCATAGTCACATTTGTTATCACACCAAATGTGACGTAAAACGGGACGGCGCCATTTTTTGATTACCTTAAAATAAATCTTAAAGTAACAGTCGTTTCAGATAGATTTAGCAGAAAAAAAGCTAATGACAGTTTATTTTTAAATCTTTTCAGTTGCGCACAAGGGATTCCCCAAAGAGCAGTGTTTGCTTGAATCATACAAAGAATTCAGGTTGGATTTATATAAACCGTTGGAGGCTCAACGGGGTCGCCAAGTTGAGGCCTTTACTAATTTCCTAAAAGGACTCCGCGTGAGTATAATTTATGATTAATGTCTATTTTTTTTATCTACAACGAGGTAGCTCTTGGCCTGATTTCACATGATGGAAAGTGATCAGGCTGAAGGTAGAAACAAGCTTTACCTCTGAACAGCAATGCTGTCAACATTGCAGCTATGGATTGCGACAGAATTAGGTAAGATGGTGGTAGATAGCCAGGCGGACTTAGAAGCCACCACCGACAAAACTGAACAGAAAAATCTGCCCCCTCTGGAAATCGAACTCTCAGCTGTTTTCTGCCCAACTTTTAATTCTTCATACAAATTATAATCGGGCTCAGCTACCGGCCGACTAAAAGTATGTAGTTTGCGGAGTGTATAAAGCTGAGTTGTACCACTTAATTTTGACGATAACCGGTGTTTTTTATGGAGTTTGACAAAACTGTTTTTGTTTTTGTCAAGGTGTCCGCGGTGATCAATCCTGGCGCCGGCAAAAACGTGCAGTCGCAAACGCGCGAGTTCGTTATCAACGGGCTCGTCGAGCCAGCTAACAAACTGTATTTCCCATTGGATGAGGGGGGAAAAGTTAAGAAAATGCTGGTCGCCGAATATTTCGAACGAGTGAAGCACGTAAGGTGGGTAATGTGTATCATTATTTTATTTAAATCAAATAATTTTACTTGCGGAACAAATGTCATGATAATACAGGTATTCAGTATATGAGACATATTCACTTGACATTGACTAAATCTGGCTCATTGATGGTCATGATCTTTATAATTTTGTTATAAAAAATATATTCTATTTTTTTTAATGATGACTGTAGGTACAGGTTCTTGTGTCACGCACACATTGTCGCATGTACAGATGTGATTAACCACATGTAAAGCTTACTCGGTTTCGTGAATTGCAACAACTACCTATAATATGCATGTTATAATAAAATCATTTAAAAATTTTAGGCTGAGGTATCCCGACCTGAACTGCGTCTGGGTAGGCCCGAGGGAGAAAACAATTTACTATCCGATGGAGTTGCTGACCGTTGTTTACGGACAGGTAAATTATAAATGCAAATATTATTTATCACGTCATACATCTATACTTGGACATACAGTCTATTTTACATTGACACTCGTTTTAGGCCCAGAACAAACAACTGAACGATTTGCAACTGGCCACAATGGTCAGGCAAGCGGCCACTCCGCCGGATGTGCGCAAGAAGAAGATCCAGGATGTCATCACCAGTGTAAGTCATCAATCATCATCATTTCAGCCACAGGACGTTCACTGCTGAACATAGTCATCTCCCTATGATTTCCAGATTGGCCGGTTCGCAATAGTGTAAGTAGCTAAAGCCCGGTCTGTGAGCACGTAGAATTTTGTCCAATGACCCCAAGCTACCCATCCTTATCGCTCGCGCGTAATTATATTGCTGTCGCGACTGCGACGGGCGCCCGCATTGGACAAAATTTAACGTGCTCGCAGACCAGTATAGTATAAGACTTTTTGGGGAGGAAGTGTTATTCATAATAAATAAGCAATTTAAATCCTTATATTGTCACTTAGGTATAATGAAACGTGAAGGTAGAAATTTTAAATGTTGGATAGTCATAATTGGCATAAAAAATCTTACAAAAACATAAGTAACCTAAACTGATATTGTGCTGTGTACTGTCCCCAAATAAATAAATACACTTAAATGTACACCACAAACAGCAGAAAAATAAAATAAATAAATATTTTTGGACATTTTACACTGCGCTTCTAGTCCCAAACTAAGCAAAGCTTGTACTATGGGTACTAGACAACGGATATAAACATACTTAAATATTTTTCTTTGTAAATACATACTTATTATACATATTATTATTTGTTTTATCCAATTAAATTAGTAATGTGAAAATGTTGGTAGATTGTTATCTATGATGTACTTGGTGCATTATGAGTAATCCAACAAACTGCGTGTGTAACTTATATTATAAGTAAGGGGATGTAAGTTTAATATTTGTATGTTAACTTTCACTAGGTAGGGCTCAAAAGATAAGGAGACCATGTAAAGTGCCCCTTAAGGGCTATCTTTATTTTTTTTTATTTACTATAATTTTGACGTTCATAAGTGCCACTAGTGTTCTAAATTGAATAAAATATTTTCGATTTGATTGATTTGATTTCATTTGACTTCTGCTTTCAGATGAACTATGCGCACAATCCGTATTTCCACAAGTTTGGACTGCACATATCCGACAAGTTCTATCCGGTCGACGCCAAAGTCCTGCACCCTCCGAGGCTAGAAGTGGGAGGAGGGAAGTCGGTTGAGCCAAGGTATGATAACCGCATTTATGGCTGGTTTTAGTGTCACGCGGACCGTACGGTGCGGACCCGCTCCGCACGGCCAATCTGTATGAACTTCTAGGGAGCGTTTTAGAGTAATGCGGTCCGGAGGAACCGCTCCGCTCCCTAGCAGTTCATACAGATCGGCTGTGCGTAGTGACAGTCCGCGTGACACTAAAACCAGCTTATGTCCGTACAGCAAAATTAGGTATAGATCGTTTCATCAACGAAGATGCGCCCCACCATTCTTCCGCTATTTGAGTGTTATCGGTACACGCTAAATTATCCATGAGTTGAGCACGCACACTACAATAATGACGCTCGGATTGCTCGGATCAAACTCCCCGCACCCCGCGCTTCCCTCGACCAAAAATTGGTGGGGCGCGTCTTAGTGGATGAAACGATCTATACAGTCAGCGTCAAATGGTTCGTGACACCGTTGTGTTGCGAACTTATTGCCTACTTTGGGACACCCAAAGCCATATTTGAACATCCAAAGTACTATTTGAACGAACTATTCGACGCTGACTATACTTTTTTCGTGCTGTCATAGTTTGAAGTTATTATTTTAAGGCCGAGTTGCACCACCTCACTTTGACCGTAACTATAACGATAACCGGTGTTTTTTGTATGGAGTTTGACAAATTTTTGACGTTTGTCAAAGTTAAAGTAAGATGGTGCAAACTAGCCTAAGTACCTATTTTCGTATTAATTTGCTAATGTCAAATGGCTTTTTCACAAAATATAAAAAATCAGAAAGGATACATTAGCTACGTATTTAAGTAAGGTGCTAAGTGCTAAATATACGCTTTTTTCTACATAACTAGGTTTATAAATAAAACAAAATGCTTGACTAGAATTTATTTAATCCTATATCCTGGCTACACAGGAGTTGCAGCGGTGGGAACGAGAGGTGGGAATAGTCCCGTTTACGATAACTACGTAAAATCAGGTGATTTGTCTTTCAGGCGCGGGGCATGGATAGCCGAACGCGTGCTAAAGCCCGAAGCGTTGACTTCTTGGGGCATCGTTGCGGTGGAGACTGAGCCAGATAGATGCGATTTCGATAACATCATCCGATTGGTAAGCTGCATCGACACATTCTATTGGCATTATAAAGAGATTGATAGATATAAGGTTTATTTGCAAAACAACAATAAGCAAAAAGTAAGAGTAATAACAGGAGTAGCAAGTAAAAATAGTACATTACAAGGAATAACAAAGATAATCCTACGGTGAGGTGTGAGTGTGCCCCGGGACAAACTTGACCTTCACTGGTTGGGATTTTATTGACGGCCAAATCCTGGCTACACAGAAGTTGCAGCGGTGGGAACAAGAAGTGGGCATAGTCCTGTATTTTAAAGGTAATTGCTGTAATAAGTTCTTGAGTGAAGACATACTATCATCATCATCATTTCAGCCACAGGACGTCCACAGCTAAATATAAAGTTTCCCCCAGTATTTTCCACATTGACCGGTTGGTAGCGGCTGTATCCAGCTTTCCTGCTACCTTTATCAGTCCTGTACACCTTGCGGTTGGACGTCCTCCGCTGCCACATACGCTGCCGAATTATAATTTAAAAGTTTTACGGTGCATCGATAATTTCTCGAGTGAGGAACGGGCAGCTTTTAGTTCTGAATCATCATCATTTAGTCTCCACTGCAGGAAAATGTAATTTGCTAGAGGTAAATGAAAGAAAGAAAGAAAGAAAGAAAGAAAGAAAGAAAGAAAGAAAGAAAGAAAGAAAGAAAGAAAGAAAGAAAGAAAGAAAGAAAGAAAGAAAGAAAGAAAGAAATAGAATTTATTAAACACAGTAAGCACAAATATAAACAATAACAACACAAAACGAATATATAAAAAATAGTGGGCCACTGTGTCAATAGGCTCCCGCTCAGCATTTATCCTGACATGCTCGTGAGGGCATGTCAAGAAGCTGGTCTTCCGCGGGAGCCCTTGTTGTGGCTTCGCGCATCCCTTCAGAGAGACATCGACTCGAGTTAAATGGAGGATTTGGCCTACACTTCCCATTCTGGCCAAATGGATTGGGGAGGCCTATTTCTCGCTTAGTTCCCTTCCCACCATCCACGGGAAAAGTGGGAGTAGTTCTAATCTACTCTGCTAAACCACGTCTTGAATAAAACAATCTTCTATTTCAGATGATGTCGGTTGGAAGACAGATGGGTATGAACGTGTCCCCGCCGGCCATACGGCGCTTCGACCTTAAATTGAAGGACCTCCATAGCGCCTTCTTGGGCGCTACCAAAGACGGGATCAACTTCATGTTCGTCATCGTCTCTTCCAGGGGCCGCGACTACTATCATAGGGTAATATAGCCTTTTACTTCACAATTAAAAAGGAAAATGAGTACTTAAAAAAAAAACTTGGTATACTCGTTTAATCTATTGATTTTTAAAGTGAAAACGATATTCGTTTGATTTACTCAATATTAGTTATGTGCGTAGGGATGTAAATGTGTGAACGTGAAATTGTAAACTCCGTCAATTTATAATATAACGAGTGAGATTGTAAACTAACAGTAGGTTAGGTTAGATTGTAATGTAACTAAGTCTCATTATTATAATCTGTCAGAATTAACAATTTTACGGTGACATAAACAAAGCTACTCATTCAGTTGCCGCACTCATGACTCGACTACTTCAAATGAAATCAAATTTAATAGTCATCTTAAATTATTCTGCCCTTACTTGTTTCTTTCAGTTGTGTAATTCCTGCTACTTTCGTTACGTTTTGTTAGGGTTCCGTAGCCAAATGACTAAAAACGACACCCTTATAGATCTTTAATTATGTTTTGTCTCATCTCAGGTCAAACAATACGCTGAAAGAGAAGTCGGTATCCTGACCCAATGCATCAAGGAGGCCACTATACAAACGCGTATGAACCAGCAAACTGCCCGCAATATTCTTCTGAAGGTAATGTCATATTTTATTAAGAAATCTTCTAATGAGGGCTACCGTTTTTATACTTAACAGTTGGCACCCCTGGCGATTGACAGGACCTTACTCTACAGTGGCGCCATCTTGATGAGTGCAAATGCGATAGTCCTTCTACCACTTTAGCGCTCACCAGTTGGTGCCACTGTCATCGCTACTAGCAAGTGACAGGACCTTACTGTACAGTGGCGCTAACTGGTGAGCGCTAAAACAATAGCCCTCATTCCACAGGCATTTTATTAATTTTTTGACATTATACGAGTGTTCAGAGACCAAGAGAGAACAGAGTTTTAAAAGAAGTCCAAATGCTGTTTTGCAGAGTTTTGTATGAGAGAGAATACCTACTAGTCTAAGATCCCGCTATACAAGGACCTTCACCGAGATGCTTATTTGATGAAACATATTTTATATTCAATTTAACATGTCAATAATTATATTGCTTAAGGGTTGCCTAATAAATTTCAGTCCAGGATATGATTAATTAATCATTAAAAAAAGTTTTATTTTTAAATATTTCATCGGTTTGATTATTAAACAAACTCCATACCAATCGAAAGTATGAAACCTATAGAATATGCAAACGTTAGGTTGCCTATTCTTTTCCAGTCATAACTCTCGGGTTGCCAGGTATAAACAGGTAAATTGATAGAGCATTTTGCATCGGTCTGATAATTTAATCAAATATAAATGAAAATAAAGATTATTTCATTATGAACACGGTGGTATAGGGTTGCCTGCGAAAAATCAGTCCTGAATGACGGTTGTCGAATTTTGTAAAGTGAAATTAAAACTGAAAGGTGACATTTTTCGAGTAGTTGGCAACATTTGGGAAAGACGAGTTGTATGAGGCGTTTGTGTGTCTTGTCAAGAGGTGTCGCTTGGGTGAAGAAATTTCTCCAGTGTTGCCATGCTTTCGGAGATTTGGTCCAAAAATGTCGAAAGTGGAAATAACGACTTCCGGTCAAAAATTTGGATGACGCCTCCTGCAAAAGGGTCGTACAAATGACATTTGACCATTTTCATTTTCACTTTAAAAAATTCGACAACCGTCATTCAGGACTGATTTTTCGCAGGCAACCCTATACCACCGTGTTCATAATGAAATAATCTTTATTTTCATTTATATTTGATTAAATTATCAGACCGATGCAAAATGCTTTATCAATTTACCTGTTTATACCTGGCAACCCGAGAGTTATGACTGGAAAAGAATAGGCAACCTAACGTTTGCATATTCTATGGGCTTCATACTTTCGATTGGTATGGAGTTTGTTTAATAATCAAACCGATGAAATATTTAAAAATAAAACTTTTTTTAATGATTAATTAATCATTAGTCGGCCGTTTGGTGTAGTGGTTCGAAACGGACAACTATTCCGGAGGTAGCGGGTTCGATTCCCGCACAGTACAAACATTTGTGTGCATGAACATATTTGTTTGTATTGGACTGGGTGTTTTTCATGTATACCAAGTACGTATTTATAAAAAAAAAAGTATATAAGTATGTTTATATCCGTTGTCTAGTACCCATAGTACAAGCTTTGCTTAGTTTGGGACTAGAAGCGCAGTGTAAAATGTCCAAGGATATTTATATTTATTTATATCCTGGACTGAAATTTATTAGGCAACCCTTAAGCAATATAATTATTGACATGTTAAATTGAATATAAAATATGTTTCATCAAATAAGCATCTCGGTGAAGGTCGTTGTATAGCGGGATCTTATACTATACGTTTGACGTCAGTTGTAGGTTCTGTTTTTCAGAGTTAACTGACTAGTTGACTGAATTAATTAAACAAATATAGCAAATGACCAGGTTTTTTTTACTTAAATAGTAATGAGTTACTTCAAAGAATAAGTACGATCCTCCACTGATTTGTCTGGCTGCATATCGTAGTCTTTTTTCTGGTCATTTTAAAAGTATTTTGAGTCATTGTTTTTCCTGTATTGGTGTAAGGTCATACTGTATCTATTGTGGCATGTATTGATATTATGTTATTCTACAGGGTGTTAGGTAAATGGGTATATGAGCCGACATTAGCCCATGTTAACATGGGCATATAAATGGTATGGTGAAGTCAGAAAATTGATATCATCATTTTATTTTTTTAAATTTTCATACAAAATAAATTTTATAAAATCCGATTTGTGTGAAAATTAAAATAACCCTGTATATCTTTTATAAATAACTTGAAAAAATCGAACTGCCTAAGGCGGAAGTCGAACCCACGATTTCGCTTGCCGACTGCTCTTCCATCTTAGCTACTTAACACTGGATGATCCAGTCGAAATTATCAAGTGTAATACGCTGTTGCGGCTGCGTTTTGTTTCACCAATGTTGGGTAGTACCACAGAATAATAATAAGTACTACGTACAGAAGTTTTACTTCGCGAAGGTATTTTAAAACATGTATGCTCAATGTCATTAACAATATGGTGTAATTTAGCCCGTCTCAAGAGTCAAGCACCATTTTGTTGACAAACGTCAGTGATAAAATGATGTGACGTGAGGTGCCAAACTGCGGAAAATGGCGGAGGAAATATGTGATTTAGCATAAATTATCATGAATAATATTAACTACTTATTTACCTCTCAGTGTCTTGAGGCAACTTAATACGCGTGCATGAGTCAATGTTCGCTCGTATGTGAGGCCTTGTCGAATAGTATCCTGTAGGTGGGCCATCGTGCGTGTTTTGTTTTCGATGTAAACTCGCGGAGATGAACAGGCCTGGTAGTACTACCCTTTTCTGTATATTTCTATATCTCTTGTTTCTAAAGGTGAATTCCAAGCTCATGGGCATCAACCAAGCGTTGGACAAGACCAGTATCCCGAAGTGTCTCCGAGACGGCGGCGTTATGGTTGTTGGTGCTGACGTCACTCACCCGTCGCCCGAACAAGTAAAAATACATTTAATTGTGTGGGCTTACTTGCTAAAGACTTCACTTACTCATCACAAAACCCATAATACAGTGTCCTGTGAGTAGATTGGCGGAGCTTGGGTAGTGATAGCTTTGGACAAAGATCTTTCAAGTAATTAAGCATATTGAAGTTTTTTTTAGTGTACAGGATTTTCGGTGTTTTAAGCGTTTTCTTAAAATATTCTTTAACAGTTAGGTATTATCATCATCTTCTCAGGTAATTTAGTCTCCACTATAGGAGAACAACCTACTCTAATTTGCCAAGGACAAAATAGAGGATTTGGCCGATACTCCCCACGCCAAAGGGTTGTGAAGGCTGATATTAATTAGCAAATTACTTTTTATTACTTATTTTCCTAAAAAAGATATCTTGTATACTCAAAATTTATAAGTTATGTTTAGTTATTTTGGAATATCTTTGTCAAAGGTATCACTACCAAATCTCCGCCGGTCTATTTACTACACCCTGTATATTAACGTGCTAACTTAATGTTGCACGCTAACAGTTGGCAATGGTGAGTATTTACCGTCTCATCCTCATTTACTTGCTTGGCTTATTTACTAACCATATCAAGGTGAAAGATGAAAAAAATAAATGAAACCTCAACAAAACAAAAGATAGAAATTAATAAAATAACAAACGTGTCACCTAAAAGGCATCCATTCAGCATCATGCTGATCATAGATACGTGTCCAAATATTTCAGCAAATCAACGAAACTAGTCCATTGTGTGCGCTATCTATGCAAAGACTGTTAAACATTTTTAACATTTATGGAAGTCGTATTGCAAAGTAAAAAAATAAAAAACATTGCAAATATCTTGCCACTTGTCTGTGATCCACCATACTTAGGTAAATGCATGATGTGTATGCACGTTTTGTTAAATGTATATTGCGCTTCTGAATTGGAAAAAAAACAAATAAAACGTGTAAATTGTATTTCAGAGCAACATACCGAGCATTGCCGCTGTCACGGCTTCGATCGATCCAAAGTGCTTCATGTATAACATTGAACTCAGTATTCAAACGCCCAAGGTAAGTTCTTTTGTTTTAATATATAGGTAGGTTTGCATTGCGACGGTGCATCTCTCGTTCGTTCGTTCGTTTCAGCCGAAAGACGTCCACTGCTGGACAAAGGCCTCCCCCAAGGATTCCCTCAAAGACCGGTCCTGGGCCGCTCGCATCCAGGCACCTCCCGCGACCTTCATCAGATCGTCGGTCCACCTAGTGGGAGGCTTGCCCACGCTTCTCTCGTAGTTAAAATCGACAATAACCAAACGGTTATGATCGTTCCCCGCCGCCGCTAGTCTATTGTGGTGAACCCACTCGTAACAAGCATTTTTTTAGCTTATCACGAGGGTTTAACGGGATTTTGTATTAGTAATTTGTATTTAGAAATTGATAATTAACTTAAAAATGGTGGTGAAATGCCAAGCTAGGTTATAANAATCAAGTTCTCCTTAACAAACTGGACCGCCTTCTCAACAGTTGCATCCGGTTCATATTTTGTCTACGTAAATATGATCACATCTCCTCCTACCGATCTGAGCTCAAATGGCTACCTGTTCCTCTACGGCGTAATGCCAGAATTCTCACTACACTTTTTACCATCCTAAACGACCCTAATGCTCCTTCCTATCTTAAATCTCAGTATACTCTTTTAAGTTCAACTCATGTAAGGCAACTTCGTTCCTCCAACAAACTTCTTCTTTCTACCCCATCCCACCGCACTGGTTTCCTCTCTAATTCATTCCTTCTCCAATCTATTCGCCTTTGGAACGCTCTTCCCGAGAACATTAGGCAGGCTCCCAGCAAGTTTGTGTTTAAATACTCTGTGCGCAAGCATTTCCTTGAACGTATCTCGTCGTCTTGATCTCTCTTAAACCTTCTCGTTATCCACCTTATATTATGTATATGTATGTATTTATGTAGGTATATATTTTGTATTAATATATTATAATATTTTATGTATTATATTAGTATAAGTTTTTTTGTATTTGTACTATTTTGCACCGCCTACTTAAATTCTCTGTTTTGTCTAATTTTCTGGTTAGCTGGAAGAGAATGCCACATGGCATTAAGCTCGCCTGTTGTACCACTGTTTTTTATGTGTGCAATAAAGATTTTAAATAAAAATAAATAAATAAATAACCCAGTATACTGGGAAATGATCATTGCACAATAAGATACGATCCACAGCTTACTGGTTCACTCCATGTTGCACGCCAATTTTTCTTATCCTTAAGAGTTTTACAATTTCTGTTTGAATCATCAACGATCAACGATTTATTTCTTTCAGTCTTTCTTGTGATGTAATAACAAACTTTATTTTTCTACTCCGTACAGAAAGAGATGATCGTCGAGTTCCAAGACATGATGGTGGAACACCTGAAAGTGTACCGCGCTCACCAGAAAGCTTTGCCCAAGAAGATCTTTGTCTTCCGCGATGGTGTTTCTGAGGGACAATTTGCTCAAGTAAGTGCATTTCATTTTGATTAAGAAATTGAGGCAAAAATTTCGTTCTGACGCAGAACGTCATATTTGCAAGATGTCAACGCGAATAATTTGGTCCCTTTCTCAAAAAGTCACTTTCGCAGAATGTCACTTTCTCAAAAGGTCACTTTTGCAAACCAAAAACCATTTCGCGATGATATTTTGCGAATATTATGACGTTCTGCGTCAAAACAAAAAAAAATATTGTAAGAGTCTGGTTTCATAAAATGTTACATACAGACTACACAACTTATTTGATTAATCTTAATATTATAAATTATAATATATTCGCTACTACGAGTAAAGTACATACAGATACCTTTAAATGTTTAATAAATGTTATTACTATGTATATTGTTGCAAATTCTGACATCAGAGCGACCTTTTGCTACAACAAGGAGAATGATTTTGGAAGCCAAGTTCAGCTATATGTATACTAATCTATGATTTTTGTTTCCTGAAAATCTAATGTGTATTTGTAATGTCAGGTCATGAACAGCGAACTACAGGCGGTGCTTGACGCGTACCGAACCATCGCCGGGCCCAATGCTAGGCCCGAGGTTCTGTTCTTGCTTGTGCAGAAGCGACATCACACGAGGTACAATAAACATTACATAAGTCTTAAAAGGTTCTGGAATGGAGGCCGCGTACCGGAAAACGCAGCGTGGGACGTCCACCTACAAGGTGGACCGACGACATCGTAAAGGTAGCAGGGAAGCGCTGGACGCAGGCCGCTACCAATCGATCAACATGGAAAGCATTGGGGGAGGCCTATGTTCAGCAGTGGACGTCCTATGACTGAAATGATGATGATGATGAAGTCTTAAATATGTAGATTTTCCCCCGCGGGTTAGCCCCACAGATCACAGAAACTAAAGGGAGATGTGACAAGGGGGCGGGGCCGGCGTCGCAGCAATATGCCCAAAAACAGAACACATTGCTCAAACAGCAATGATGACAGCAGCGACGACATAATGTAAACAGTTTACATTGCGTGCGTAGTACTAAAGATTATTCGAACGTTGAGTACTGATACCGCAGTGGATAATGAGCACATATTTTGATTACTTCGTGTGTGTGAATTTCTAATGCGATACTGAGTTTCGAACTCATTTCATCATCCGTTGACATCTCTCAATATCTCTATGGTTCGCCCGCATGAATTTTAATCTGTTACAGAAAGCTTTAATTGCGCGTATGCCTTTCAAAAACCTTAATAAAAGATGTCCTATGTTTCTCGCCGAGTTTAAAAATGTGAGAATAAGTAACAGACACATCGATAAAGAACTATATTTATGTATTGGACAGTGTTTGTAGATTAGTAAAGATATTTTATAGTTTCCCTATTTTCTCGTTTGCAGACTGTTCATACCGAATAGCGCCAACAACGTGGATCCTGGGACCGTGGTGGACAAAGATATTGTCCACGCTAGCGAGTTGGACTTTTATTTGGTAAGAAATCTAATTCTACTTCTATTTTTTATTCTATTATATTTCTATTAATATCGGTATGAGTTATTGTGACGTTATAGTAAACAGCACATCACACTATTCATACATTTTTGTTACAAACAAAATAGAACTTTTCTTAGTGCATCATGAGTGAGTATGCCACAGTTTTAAACTTGATTTTAGTGTGCAAACACTTTTAAGTCTTCTGTACTTGAAGCAAAATTAATTTCTTTATTTATTTATACTTTAATGTCATAATTTTAACATTATGCGAACTTAATGCCATAAGGCATTTTCATCTAATTTACCATTAGTCTTATTTCAATCTGTTGCGACAGGGTGGCACATACACTGCTCAGCTTATTATTTCCTCTATCTTCTTATGCTACTGTTATGTATTTTAATGTATCGGCGTGATTTCCTATTGCAATTAATATTTATTTGTTTAATTTTCTTCCTCAGGTGTCTCACCACGCCATCAAAGGCACGGCTCGCCCGACGCGCTACCACGCCGTGTGCAACGACGGCCGCATCCCGCACGACGAGGTCGAACAGCTGACGTTCTACCTCTGCCATCTGTACTCACGATGCACCCGCTCCGTGTCGTATCCCACGCCCACTTACTACGCGCATCTGGCGTGTCTGCGGGCCCGCTCGCTGACCCAGTGAGTGTCGTCTACACTACACTACGCTACAATATACTACACTACGCTCTCCTACACTACACTACACTACGCTATCCTACACTACACTAAGCTATCCTACGCTACGCTACGGCAACGCTAAGGGCACACTACGCGCATCTGGAGTGTCTGCGGGCCCGCTCGCTGACCCAGTGAGTGTCCTCTACGCTACACTACACTACAGTACGCTACGCTATGCTACGCTACACTACACTACGCTCTCCTACGCTGCACTACACTACGCTATCCTACACTACACTAAGCTCTCCTACGCTATGTTACACTACACTACGCTTCAATATACTACACTACACTACGCTATCCTACGCTGCACTACACTACGCTATCCTACACTACACTAAGCTATCCTACGCTACGCTACGGCAACGCTAAGGGCACACTACGTGCATCTGGAGTGTCTGAGGGCCCGCTCTCTGATCCAGTAAGTGTCCTCTACGCTACACTACACTACAGTACGCTACGCTATGCTACCCTGCACTACACTACGCTATCGTACACTACACTACACTAAGCTATCTTACACTACACAACACTCTCCTACGCTACGCTACGGCAACGCTAAGGGCACGGCTCGCCCGACGCGCTACCACGCCGTGTGCAACGACGGCCGCATCCCGCACGACGAGGCCGAACAGCTGACGTTCTACCTCTGCCATCTGTACTCACGATGCACCCGCTCCGTGTCGTATCCCACGCCCACTTACTACGCGCATCTGGCGTGTCTGCGGGCCCGCTCGCTGACCCAGTGAGTGTCGTCTACACTGCACTACGCTACAATATACTACACTACACTACGCTCTCCTACGCTACACTACACTACACTCTCCTACGCTGCACTACACTACGCTACTGTACACTGCACTACACTCTCCTACGTTACGCTACGGCAACGCTAAGGGCACGGCTCGCCCGACGCGCTACAACGCTACACTACGCTATCCTACCCTACGCTACACTACTCTACGCTACACTACTCTACGCTACCCTCGTAGCGCCCACGTATTTTTTGGATCCTCTTTAACTACGACCCGACCGTCCTTCTTATAGGACTTATAGTTATAGTCCTATCAGCCCAAGATTTTGAGTTGAAATTCGTATGTGTTAGAGTTACCGGTTTGAAGTGAAACTTTCAGGGTATAATTATGATTATATTAGCATGTGTTTTTACATTCTATTATTTGTCTACCTTTTGTTCTTTACAAAGGCCATCGGGCCACAAATTCTAGATTAAAAGGAAGTATTAAGTGATGTAAAATTAAATAATACAAAAAATTAGTAGTGTAAAGAGTATTAAATTAATAATAATAATAAATATAATAAATATTTTTGAACAATTTCACACATAACGCTATCTAGCCCCATAGTAAGCAATTAATATGCTTGTGTTATGGGTGCTCGCTTAACGGATATACTACATTATATACGTTTTAAATACATACATATTATACTAGTAACACCCAGACCCATCACAGAAATTAAAATTCATCATTTCAATTTCTGCCCGGCTGGGAATCGAACCCGGGACCTCTCGGCATAGTAGTCCCTTTTAGAACTACTACACCAAACGGCCGACAAATAATTAATTAATTAAATTAATTATTAGTGAAAGATAAGTTGCATTTTTATATTAGTAATATTCCATAAACCAATATAACACAAAGCCACAAACTAAAAATATCATGATATTTTTAGTACTAGCTTCGACCCAACCGCCTTCACAAAGTACATATTATTTCAAACCAAGATTTCGCAGAATTTCTGCCCTAAAAATGCAAAGTAATTATCTCTATTTAAGTAATACCTATTCGTTAGCAACTTTTTGCATAAAAACATACTCGACAACCACGGATTATCATTAAAAAATGCGATTTACTAACTACCGCCGTCCATACCGCCGGCCATTTTTCAAAAAATCCCATCTGTCAATTGTGACAGCCAATGGTAGCATACCGGAAACTGTTCCCTAATATTTCGTTCTGAACGAAATAGTAGGGAACTGATCGAGTTAAATTATTTCTTTAAGCCGCGAAATTTCAAAAATCTAGACAAAGTTTAATAATATGGCCTTCTGAAAGGCGCATGGGCGGTAATTGAAAGTTAGTTGAAAAAAGTTCTGGGCTGTAGTCGCCATGTTTATTTTGGGTTATCAAAAGGCGCGTGGGCGCTACGAGGCTACACTACTCGGCACTATGCTACGCCACGCTATCCTACGCTACGTTACACTACACTACTACGTTACGCCACGCTATCCTACGCTATGCTACACTACACTACACTATACCACACTGTATAATCTAATTTGCTGACCTAGTTGGCCTATTAGGAATTTTAAAAAGTGTCAGTTCAAAGGTCATTTGATTGATTCTAATTAAAATTAGACTACACACAAGTTCTTTCATCTCTAAACGCGTTGACGCAATATTCGGCTACATACTAATTTGGCTCCTAACGAATAACGATACTTTCACTTTTGGAAACATAATTGTGTAGTTGCATAATGTCTAATACATGATAGTTTTTTATTCGTATTGTCAAATTAATCAAACTGTTAATTAGTCTACATTTGGTGTGCCACTTGCGAAGTATAGTATAGATAGTGTATTTTTAAATCTGCTACTTATTATTATAACAATTTGTTATCCATCATTAGGTACTTCAATGAATGAATTTTATTTATTTATTTAAAGACTTTATTGCACACACAACAATGTTCTGTACAAAAAGGCGAGCTTAATGCCATACGTCATTCTCTACCAGCTGACCTTGAGCAAAACAGAGATATTTAGTAGGCGGTGCTAAAAAGCTACAAAAATGTACACAATATAATACATAAAATATTATAATATATATTTATACAAAATATATACATAAATACATACATATAATTTATATAAAATGGATGACGAGAGGTAAGGGAGGATAGGAGAGGATAAGGGAGAAAAGGAAAGAATAAGGGAGATCAAGACGACATGATGCGTTCAAGAAAATGTTTGCGCACAGAGTGTTTGAAAACAAACTTACTAGGAGCCTGCCTGATGTTCTCGGGAAGAGCGTTCCAAAGGAATTGAGGAGAAATGAATTAGAGAGGAAACGAATGAATGAAAGATTAATGGCCAAAGCTTTGAGACCGAAAAGGTTTTATGATATTGAATGAATGAAATTATTTATCAAGTCGTATTATAAGGTCTAGCGCTTATCTCAGTGCCTGAGTTATGGGAGCGGCACGGGAGAGGTGACATTGACATAAAATATTAATACGTGACAGAATTGCTAAAATCAAGTGGCAGTGGGCGGGGCACATAGCTCGTAGAGACGATGGCCGTTGGGGCAGAAAAGTTCTCGAGTGGCGACCGCGGGCTGGAAGACGTAGCGTGGGCAGGCCTCCTACTAGGTAGACTGACGATCTGGTAAAGGTCGCGGGAAGAGCCTGGCTGCGGGCAGCGCAGGACCGTGCATTGTGGAAAACCTTGGAGGAGGCCTTTGTCCAGCAGTGGACGTCATTTGGCTGAAACGAACGAACGTGACAGAACATACAAATCTGAAGCATATTATCTGAAGTCTCGTTGACGTTTGACCATCTCCCATATAGATGACCCACGCTGAACTGTCCCACCAAACTCAATGACAGGGGGGCGCTACCATCGTTCAACTATATGGTTTCCAACATGGCAAAAATCGGAACCAGCGATCCGGTGTTGACGGTGGCGCCCCACTGTCAATGTCATGCATAGATAGGACAGTTCAGTATTTTGGAACTATACAAATCTGAAGCATATTATCTGAAGTCTCGCTGACGTTTGACGTTTGAAATAAAGATGACCCACGCTGAACTGTCCCACCAAACTCAATGACAGGGGGGCGCTACCATCGTTCAACTATATGGTTTCCAACATGGCAAAAATCGGAACCAGCGATCCGGTATTGACGGTGGCGCCCCACTGTCAATGTCATGCATAGATAGGACAGTTCAGTATTTTGGAACTATACAAATCTGAAGCATACTGAAGTCTCGCTGACGTTTGACGACTGAAATACACCATCTCCCGTAGCTCAGGCACTGACCGAGAAACAATGTTCACTTAGGGTGGGTTGCACCATCTTACTTTAACTTTAACAAATGTAAAAAAACTGTCAAAATCCATACAAAAAGCATCGTTAAAGTTACCGGTTATACCGGTAGTTAGATGGTGCAATTTAGCCTTAGTCACTTGGTATTGATTGGATGCGGTTTATTATTTATTGTTTTTTTAAATTTAAACTAACGTATTTACGACTAAATTTGTTTCAGCGGCGAAAAATTCGACAACAAGGAATTGGAACGTCACCCCAAGCGACTCCGTGTTATGGACAAGATTCTGCAGTCTAGCCGAATGTTCTTTGTGTAATTAGCCAGTTAAATGTTGTAAACGTATTTTTACTTATTCTACATAATAAAAAAAAAAACAAAAAAATATACAAAAACTTGTACCAACTAGATATTTTTCTATGTTGTCCTTTCAAGCTTTGATAAAACAGTGTCTACGTATTTCACAATAGTCAATGATGTCCTTGCTCAGTAAACACACGTACAAAAAAAAAAACAAAAAAAAAAAAAAGAAATAAATTGCTTTTCTGTCTGTGTCTAAATGTACTTTTACAGCAGTTTTAAAAATATTTTAAGATAAGTAGGTACTAACTTTAATTTGAAATATTATGCTTCTTTTACTATGCCTTTCTTTGTTTTTATTACGTAGTTACGTTATATTTTTAATATTAGTTAAGAATAATTTTGACAGAATATACATACATTTGTCATGAATTTTAAAGTTAATAGCTGTACAGCTAATTATTGTCAGATTTTTGTTACTTGATTTCTTTTAATAAGGCTATACAATATAGGTGTACTGCATTTATTATTAGCATTTCCAAATAATATGCTTGTTTAAATTGAATATTATAATACAGAATAATATTATACCTTCGTACAGAAGAATTTCTTCGCAAAGGTATTTTAAAAATTGTCTTTCTTTTTTTATACCCCTTAGTTTTCAAATTCATGGCACCCCAAAATGTTTTTATTTTGCGTACCAAAATTATTTTAAGTAGGTCGAGTTACTGTGATTTGTTTATTTTATAAAATATTTAAGTATTCGTGTGTTTATGCCGCCTAAATTTTAAAATTTGATCTGACATTGGGGGAATATCAATCTACCCCGAATGGGGATGATGGGAATTTTCTTTTCTACTCTGAAATTCTCATTTTCTCACATTCGGGGGAAATCGGATATGATGGGATGAGAATGCCCCGACTTTTGTTCAGTTTCGAAAGATTGGTTTACTCGAAACTGTATGTTGAGTCTAGTCGGTAAAACGTATTTTACTCGAGGTAAGGCAATTAAAATTGATCTAAATAAAGACTACTAGGATCTCCCTGAATGCGTAACATAGATTGTCATATTCTTTCTAAATTATTATTCTCAGAGGAAACAGGGTATTCCTTCATTGAAATGGAAATCAGGACAATTCTCTGAAGAATGATGAATTCTGTATTTTTTCTTGTCACTAAACAATTTTAAGTATGTTTAACTCTACAAGCAAGATTTTAAACACAATACATAATTATATTAATCAGATATGATAGCAGAATTAAATGTTCTTTTCTATATTACTAGCAATATTGTAATCAAGTATTTAAATAAATAAATAAAATCTTATACCCTGGGAACTATGTTGTTTTCTTTTAAATAACTTTTCATAACCCCTTTTTCCTACTTTAAAAGTAGGTTAAGTATGTATAGGTAGGTAGTTCTCCAAAAAAAGAAGTGTAAAAATATGAAAGCGACGAGCAATAGAGTAAAGAACAGGCAGGCTATATCATGTTAATGATAATGCGTGATGTTAAACAGGCAATTAAGAAAGATAACATCCCGTGCTACCAATCCTGCCTCGCCTTGACATCACTCGCTGCATAATAACCACCCAACATCGAGGAGGGGCCGCAAGAAAAACCCATCGCATGCCGCTAATTACAATGTAACTTGTCTCATTAGAATTAAACCTACTTACGAAGGTAATGCTTGTTGCTGACCAGTCAGGATGAGCAATAAGTAATTATTGTCACGTAAATTGGACCTTTGATTCGTTAACGTTTTATTTGCCAATTAAGATTTTCTGTGCCCATCTCTACCTTACTCGCTCAGGTGTTTTGTTGTTCACTTTAAACGAACTGGAGCAGGTCATCTTTTCGAGATAATATATTTTCCAGTATTTTCCTATGGCAATCTAATAAGCCTTTTTCATGAGCATGATTGGGAAAGCCGACCCCGCGTAACGGGTTAAGGCGAGGTAGAAGAAGAAAAGGAGAATCTAATGCCAGTTTTGACCATCAATCCCTAATTTTTAAGTGACCCCTATGAAAACACAAAATTATTTACCGCGTACGAGATTCGAACCTATATCTCTGACATGACCCAGAGCGCGAAGCACTAGGTAAACTAGATGACCGCCACAAATCTACTAATCTGGGTACGGTTAAGCGTCAATGTCCCCGCAAGGCCAATGTCAGTGTTTCATATGTACCTATTTCGAAGACAACTAATTAGTTATCTCTTAGAAAAAGAACAGGATATGTCTATACTTAGTATACGCCCAATCAATTTACTTCGTGGGCAGACACGCTCGTTCCGTAGTAGTAAATCAACAGTGAATAATGGTATACGTTTTTACATGGATACAGCGATTATAAATGAGTATACGAACAGGTGTTCATATTTATTGTTTGCAAAATAATTCCTGCCTGGTTTAAGTAGGTATTCTAGGATTCTGAACTTGGTTTAGGAAACGCTCTCTCGATCTGTCTGGGTTCAAATTCCGATCGAATCTGGGTCTAGACCCTAAATTAAATTGTCACTAGCTTAGCTTAGCAGACTTGATGAACCGAATTCGTCATCATTTTTGGCAGACCACTGCTGGACGTAAGGGCTGGCTTACACGGAACGACACAAGAACGATCTTTTTTTTCAATCCACTGCTAGCTCTCTCTTTTATGGTCATCGGATTGGAATTGTTATCGTACAACAAGATTGCCTGAAAATAAATTTATTACTTTCTATTAAACACATATTATAAAAATAAATAAATAAAATAGTTTATTCAGTACTCGTACATGCCCTTTTCGTGGCACTAATACACGTTCCAAATATAGCTTGCCCTATTGTAATAAATGTAAATGTGTGCGGTCAATGTGGGATTATTTTGTGACTTACTAACAAAACTATATTCCAAAACCAAAAAAGCCTTCATACTTACTTAACTAACCCTCACCTCAACTCTTTCACAACACCTCTCAATATTCTCTCGATTAAATAATTATGTAAAGCTTGCATTGCTAATTACAAATTGATACATATTCAGTTCATTAGTCCCCATTGTAAGGTCGACCCGAGAACTGAACTCGCTCCTCTCAGTTCCGAGCAAGTCGGAAGTCCACAAGGCCATCGTCATCCTTCCTTCCGCTATTAGTTTAATCTAATACCTACTTATTATAATGTTTTACAAATCGCCATTTAAATATTTATAACCGTATCGGTTAGATCTTAAGTGGCGAATTTTACACCGTAGTTGTAGGTGCTAATTTGAAACTAAAATAAGTACCTATGTAGGTACTTATTTTTATTTGCTGTAAACTATAGGTATTGTCAACTGTTAACATACAGTGTGGTTAGAGAAGTAACGTCCAAAGCTAACACACGTCGGTACCTATTTCATAAACGATGCTTGCTGCGAAGCAGCAACGCTATGCGAAGTCGAACGCACAGCGTTGAATGGAACTCTGTGATTAATTCGTGTGTGTCGCTCCGCCGCTCAAGCCGTCTATGAATAGGTTTTTGGGACCCTGTGCGTCCACGCGCACTGTAAGACCTCCCTTCGGCCGTGTATGATACCAAAGTTTGGTAACCAGTACTCATAGTATGTTTGTGAATACGGGTGTAAGAATACTATAGTATGTTATAGGCGATCGAATCATCTCCATACATTTTTATAGTTTTAGAGCTATTCAAGATTTTCGTGACTTTCATGACGTTATCAACTGTAGTAGCGTCAGCAAGAATACCTTCTGGGGCAGTCGGGTAATCTAATTTTATAAATCACAGAGCCTTCGTCACGGTGTGATTGAAGCTATAACGTCAGGCATTCGTAAAACGATAAACGTTATGTCGTGACAACAATCAACTGTACTTTTCGCTTTAGTTTAATGACGTGTTGTTAATAGGACCAACAATACTCGTACCTACATTTACTACTGCACGTTGCCTTTATTTATGTAGTAAGTCCCAATCTTTATTATGGATATCCTTAAGGGTGGGAAAGCCCTTTCCCAGTGAAGTGTTGGTTGAAACGAACGTGTAGGTACGTGGACCTATTACTGCCTCTCACAGCTAGGAGCGAGTGACAGGACCTTAATCTACAGTGATGTCTTAAGTACCAAACTAGTTAGGGCTAAGCCGTTTGCTCTCATTGTTCTTGCCAAAGTTCTTATTCACGGATATGGTACCGCAACATGTGCAAACACCCTAAGATGGTTTTCTATAAAGTCCGAAGATAATCACTCAATTTCAGCTGTAAAGTAATCAGCAAATCCTTTCCATAATCACCGATTTATCATTTAATAACGCCATTGACGTAAGTTATAACATCACAAAAAGTGTGCTTAAATCCAATTATAACGTAAGTGCGCCTATTAACGACCCCCCAAAATTTGTATTCTATTACCGCCCTATTTTTCTTTCTTTCATAAAAGACATAATAACAGGTTCCAGAAAACACGTTACCTAAAAAATATCTAGATATGTTTATTGACTATCAAAACGATTAAAGTTTGTGTTCGTAAATAACCCGTAAACGGAGTTATTTGACATTAAATGGGACGCGCCCGCAACGGACGCACTTTTCATACTGACGCGCTCCCAGCTACTTAAGGTGCACCTTGTTATTAATTAGCGATTTTAACACATTTAAAATGAGTATACCAACATGTTTTTGCATAACAATATTAATTCATACTTTAGTTTCCTTAATAAACCCTCAATATAGCCCTCTCGCTGTATTTTTATGGATTAAATACAATTTTAAATAAGGGCGGTAATAGAAACACTTTTAATAATTTGGTTCCTAATAACGACCCATGGCGTTGTTAGAATTTTGATAACGTTTTTTATTTTGGTATTTATATCTTTAATTACGCATTTAACCTCCATTTTGTTATCTTGATCGATTCATTAGAATATTTCACATAATTAAATCAATTAACGCCATACGTTAATTGCCACAGGTTTGGCATAAAACTGCAATGAACATTAAAGAATATCTCTAATAATGTATGACAATAGATTTTATAAAAACCTGTTAAATTCTAATTAGTTCCTATTTGATATAAAATAAAACGTAATAAAAATGATACTTCA